TTCAAAAGTTTCACCAGGAAAGAGGGACTTTAGGGTGAGAAGCTTCGCTCAAAAGTTTCTCAAGTTCCACCAGGAAAGAGTTCAGGGACTCAGGGGCTTTTAGGGCGAGAAGCTCCACTCAAAAGTATCACAAGTTCCACCAGGAAAGAGTTCAGGGACTGAGAGACTTTAATATGAGAAGCCCCACTCAAAACCATCACAAGTTCCACCAGGAAAGTTCAGGGACTCAGGGACTCAGGGACTTTAGGATGAGAAGCCCCGCTCAAAAGCATCAGGGACTCAGGGATGGCATAGGCTGGGATCAATGGCAGCTGCTTCCGCGTCACCTTCAGCATCTTCATCTTTCGCCCTCTGTCCAAGAACCAATCACTACGTTTAGCCACAATGGGGTAGACACCGGGTTCGCCAACGCCTTCCAGCTCCCATGTTGCGCATTAAACTTGACATACACGACGCTAGGCCGCTGCTCATTGCGCGGCCAAACCCAGGAATGCACCGTGAAAAACTGCGACCTGCCAGTAGTGCCACTAGCGCGGGCTCCAAGGTGCTTGATGAGCTGCTTGAACTGCTTGACTTGGCCTGATTCTTTTCAAGAGCCAGCCCGGTGCCGAGCGCCTTTGAGTATGACAACGATCAACCGATGCATCTCGGCTACACATGCAAACACATTCAGTTGAGAGTTTCATCGCAAAAGCGCAAGGTTGCAGTGACCCATCTAACACTCTAAAGCGGAAGCCAGGTGGACAAATGTTGCCATTCACAACGGTCCATGACAGCCTGTTGCCATCAAGAAGGCAATCACGAACCTGGATCTGCACAGAAAAACATACGAGCAAAAACAATATTGAAGATCCTCCTGATTTGACACTTCAAATCTCTGGATGAAGTGATGTTGTATCGCTGGTCACCGTACTTCGGGGGATCCGAGTTCAAAATCACAAAGTGGTAGAAAACCTGCTTTCAGCTGCGAAAAAATGATGGTTCTTATGTCGGATCTTCCCATTCCTCAAGACTCTTGGAGTAAAGCTGACACGTCACCCTTACTCCACAGCGACAAAACCAGGGGCTTGAAAATAACCCCCATCGAGCTCAGCCGATCCTCGATAGCTGTTATTGAGCTTGCAATCTATCGGCAACACAGGGAGGCTGTGCTTGGATGATCCTTGGATGTCCAAGATCTCACGCGCCTTCTCCCCGATAAAGTTGCACATGTTTTGCCCTGCCGCAATGTCCCCGACAGAGCATTGCGACAAGGTTCCCCCGCGGGCGCTGAGAAAGGCCGAAATGCCAAGGCAAGAGCAATTGAACTCGCCGATGGTCAAGGGAAACTTGTGATCTTTGATCGGAATGAAGTCGACCGCCCACAAGAGAGGCAAAGAATCCATGTCGAGACCCAAGACTTCCAAATAGTCTTCCACTTCACCTTCTAATTTCATTTTGGTCTCAGCATATTGCGGTGCATCCGGTGGGTAGACTGTAGTCTCCGTCTCACCCCCGACGCCACCGTGGTACACGTAGTGCTCGACGTTGTACAACTGCTTGCCGACCATGAAGAAACGAGATTCACCCTCCTTGATCCCCGGCAAATAACGTTGATCCACCATCTGGCCTCCAGCTTCAAAGTACTTCCCAGAGCCTTGGGAGCTCCAGGTGCCTGACTTCTCAGTGCGACCATTGACACAGAACTCGATGAACTCAGCCACAGTGTGCTCTTCCACATGGTTGTCGTTGGCCTCCATCAAGAGTAAGGGCGCATCCATCGAGCAAACACGAGGCTCTTCGCAATAAGCTTCCTTAGCTTCCTTGCTCAACAAATTAAGCAGCTGTAAATGATAGGCGTGGGTCATGGTGTGAATCAAAAGTCAGCCCAAAATTCTGTGAACACCACAGGATTGCGGTGTTTCTCTTCGTTTTTGGCATGTGAGAACCAGCTTACACTCACACCCAAATGTATCTCACAAAAAAAGACATCGAAAAGGTCTAAGTGGCTGAGTTTCACTTTTCAACTTGACAATCCAAATTCCTTCACCTGCAGAGCCCCTGTTCTGCTTGACAACACGAGGATGGAAGGCGATGGTCTTAGGGAAGCCTGTCTTGAAGTCCTCAGGCGAGTAGTACCTTGGCAGCTGAGCTGATCAGCTTGGGGAATGGCGTAGGTTTGATAAACTCACTGAGTTTCAGCTCACCTAAAAAGCGCCCAAGCGCGGCGCGTTACGACAAATTCTACGATGTGTTCGAAAGTACTATCACAGTATCACATCCTACAAAAGGCTCCTTGACCAAGGAAATTCTTGGCAACGCCTCCAAACATCTATGCTAGAAGTTCAAGACTAATAAACAATAGGACATTACAGGTCTCAATTTATCCTTGAGAAACCTTACTTCAAAAACATGATTTCTTTAAAGACTGTTCTTTTCAGGGTCAAATTTCATCTCCTCCAACTGGGGGTTCCCTTCGGCCGAAGCTGCCCGATGGTGTCCGGCAACCCGAAATCCATGTGCTTGATCTTGCAGAGCGCATCCTTGGCACCCATCTTCCTCATCACATCTGCCGTGGGCCAGACCTGAAGGAACCGACACCAGGGCAAGTTGTGGCTGAAGTGTCCCACAAACATCGGATGCTACCGTGCATTCTGCCTACTCGGACCAACGAGCCAGGGGAAAAACATGGAAACACTTCGGGCTCAAATATGGGATTCCACTGCTATAAAACATCATAAAACCATCCAATATATCGACACTGGATTCATTTTCGTGTGATCTAGATCACCTGTCCGGGAAAAAAACAAACGACCCGTCGTACATGTTTGCTTTGGCATCACATTATGCCAAAAAAAACAGCATCAATGTTTAAGGTACTGGAATCTTCTTGGAGAGCTTCATCATGGACTCATCGAACTTATTCTGATCCCCACCATCTGCAGTGATCTGACCCGGGTTACAGCGCACGATGACACCATCGAATCGCTCCAGGACCTTGAAGAACAGATCGTGTTCTTCCTTGACATAATTCACGATCTGGCAGCTCATGCCGTTCTCGATCATGCCATTGGCAATGGGCACGGAATCGAAACGGTGGCCGTTTGCCAACTTGTCGCTGCCGCCAGGGTTGCCCTGGAAGATGTTCCAAAAATACGCACAGAAACGAAGGTCATAAATACAAATGATTGAACAAACATATGTCTTAATAAATTTAATAAATGTATCGTTACCTTACATGATCTTATACAAAAAACATTGTCTTTCGGGGAAAAAATCCACCAAGATCTTCCAACTAGTTACGCCTTATTCCAAGAAAGCAGTGGTAAAACATGCCTAGACAGGATCAACTTACGGTCACCAGATGAAACCTTGCGCATGTCCAGCCAAACGCGGCAGCCAAAGAATCCCATCCAAAACAATGGATCTGCCAGATCCAATTTCGATGGGCGTGTTGATTTGGACAAGAGCGACATTCTTTGCCATGCCAACTTACCAGACTTACCAGGGTTGCTCCAATCATTTTTGCGTAGATTCTCCAAAGGGGGGAAATTGACCATTTCATCATCCCTTTAACCCCTTACTACACTACACGTTTCTGAACCTGAAAAGGTAGGCAAGAAGCCCCAAGTTTCATAATCTGAACCTTGGGGCTTCTAGGTTTGCATCAAACACAGGCAGTGGGTCAATATTAAGCAAGCCAATAAATGGGGGACAATAACCAACAATAAGACTCGGAATACAATGGCTGATGGTACACCTGTGTTTTTAAAACAGAAACACGGTGGAAGAGGCCGCATTGGAGCTTTCCCGCCGAGCCTTTGCATTCTCAACGTAAATCTCGACCAAGGCGAGATTGTATGTCGGCTGGTCGATGCGGGAGAAGGCCCTCGTCCTGCCGGTGTGTTGGATCCGATAAGCCGCTGTGATCTTCGCAGATGGGCAGGTTTAAGATGTTGGAGAAAACAAATATCACAGATGGCTGGGTGGTTGATTTCAAAGATGTTTCAAAGATGTTTCAAAGATGTTTCATGTTTCATTGTTTTTCGTGGTTTTTCCCCAATATTTGTGGGTTGATTGACTCAAAGTGTTCAATAAAACTTCGTGGCCTCTTCCGCACGCCACTTCTTCGTCAGCTCCGAGACGTCAATGAGCTTTGCCATGGCAAGTGAATTTGCAAAATGGGGAAATGGCTGCAGGAAGTGATGCTTTTCACATGAAATGCTGTCAACTTGCGATTCGGGAGGGTCTGCCGCGAATCTCCAAAAAATTCTCTAGTTGACAACACTGACCCCATCGGAGCTGTCATGTCAAAGCTTCTGGGCGACTCTCGGCCCCTCTTGAAGGAGGGCGCTCAACAGCCTGCCAAGTAAATCGAAGCAGCTGGAAATCGTTTCCAGCACTAGCTTCTGCTAAAAAAAATGATGATGATGATGATGATGATGATGATGATGATGATGATGATGATGATGATGATGATGATGATGATGATCATGATGATGATGATGATGATGATGATGATGATCATGATGATGATGATCATGATCATGATGATGATGATGATGATGATGATGATGATGATGATGATGTTGATGATGATGATGATGATGATGATGATGATGAAACAAACAAAAATCACCTTGAACGGTGTTATTTAAATTTGGTACTCGGAAAATTGCAGTTTTGGCGGATTTGTTTCGCGTCCGGGAAGGAGGGGAGCTCATTTGGACGAGGACCGAAGAGGAAATCCGGTCGACCCCGAAGTACCCTATTAATAGACATGTGTTGTCCCCGGGGAGAGGCGGGGAGGGGTCCGCGTTTACTATTACAGTAGGGGGAACGGATTATGGGGAACCCCCGGCAATGGTTGGTTATCTTTTTCAACCAAACACATCACTTCCGAGAATGCCGCTGCTTTTTTAAGATCAATTTGTGGGCAACGTTGATTGGTCGATGTCTTTTTCGGCCCTTCGTTTTTCCCATCAGCCCGAAGCTCCATGGATCGATCCCCATCCAAACGCCTCGTCGAAGGCCTCCAAGCCAGTCCTAGCCGGGCGGCGCTTTCAAAAGGCCCATGCCAACAGCAAGGATATGCGAAAACAACCCATCCCAAGAAAACGCCTTTGGCGTTTGAAACGACCCGGGAAAAAGAACTCGGAAAGGGCCTGAGAAAGAACCCACAGATTGACTGGGGGCGTTGCCAAATGGGACACGCCAAATCTGCGCGTGGTGCTTCAAACATTTCAGCCTGACACGGGAAAGGAGCAAGGAAATTGGAAGTGTGGTCCCGAAGCAGTTGTCAATGACTGGGTATGTTGGAACTTCCCTGCTAGCATGTTGTTCTGTTTTTTTCCACCCCCGACCTGTTGATTGCCCCTCCCTTTACCGTTTGGCTTTATCCGGAAAACAGGCTGCCCTGAAAGAAAGACTCGCGTCGCAGTGAGGGCAAGGAAGAGACATGGAAGCTGGTGATAGCTATCATTATAACTTGGACTTGTTCTTTTCCAAGCTGGCCGAACCTGCAATTACACTGGCGAAGTGGCAGAACATGATGCAAACCACAGGGATGCTCAATGCGAGCACCATTTGGCAGGGCCCTTTGAGATCGGAGCTATTGGAACACACTTCTGGCTTCCGCGGGCGATGACCCCAGAGTTTGCAAAATCGCTCCGAAATGGAATGTGTGCATGGTTAAGCGCACATAACAGACAAACACAACACACCAACGCCAGATTGCCTCTCGCATATTCTTTCAAGAGGAGTTTTGACCAGGTCAAAGCTGCCTGAAAATAGTAAAGTGGCTCAAGGCTACGGCTAAAGTGAGGAATCCCGCCACACCCCAGGAAGGCGCAATATGGCCCACATTGTCAGAGCTGCAGCTCCCGCAGTGAGGGTTGCAAGCGGAAACCACAGGGATCCTCTTCCCTCCCCCCCTCCACCCCTCATTTCCTCCATCAGGCTCACAAGAAGCCCCGAAGAAGATCGTCCGGCTTGACAGCTCCCCCGCAAGATTGGCAAAGGCTTTTGGGGAGGTATTGCCATGTGCCCTCCGCAATCTCCATCCCAACCATCAGCTGACCGCTCCTCCTCCAGTCGGTCAGCGTGGGCATCTCCCCGCCCCTCATCCGCGGTGTGGGCGGGCCCTAACGCAGCCGCTGGGCTTTGTGGCTCGTGCTCACACCAACACAGGGAAGGGGCCATTGGATAGTGCGGAGGGTCGTGACATATTCTTGAAGCGTGCACGAAACGGAAATGATTGATCCCGCATGAAGAAAAAGGGGGGGAAAAATGAGGTGGGCCAACACATCGCAACGCCTGGCCCGCGCCTTCCTGCCCTCACGCATGTGCACGGTGACCTCGCTGCAGCCAGCAGCAGGTGAACCAACCCCTCCAAATCAACCAGAGGTGTTGTCCCCAAAATCCCTCTTTGTACATCATGGAAGTTGATGGGGTGGAAAGTGCACAGGGGGCCGGGGCCTTTTTAAGGCGATTGTCTTCCGACACCTCACCTTTTTTCCAAAGGGCGAATCTGAGGCATGTTTTTTTCAACATGGTGGACTTCCCTCTTGGCGTTCCCTTTAAAACAACTAAAAGGGGCGCGCCCACGTTCAGCTTCGTGAGAAGCGCCCTCGCACATCTCCAGCAACGCGGATAGGGCCTGGCCCTTCACCAGGATGAAGCAGCACTTGCCTGCAAGTGCACAGGGTTTAGAAGGGCTGGGCCCAGCACGTTTCCTATAGGGATGGAAAATGCACAGAGCAGCCAACCAAAGGACTGAGGACCGCCACATGTGTTTCCTTTTTTGTTTGGCCCGGTCCTGGGCCGTGTCTGGCCAGCCCAGTACTTAGGTAACATCTTTCAACTGGGGGCCTTGCAGGGCAGAAAAATAAGCTTGGTGACCAATGTTTTCAGAAAAAAACGTCTGATTTGAACACCACCCCCGCCAGTCACCACAGTTTGGCAGACAATCTTGATGTAGTGGTTGATCTACATGTGCACCACCCAACGGCTCAAAAACAGGTTGGCCCTCTGGGAGACATCATCACAAGAAGGTCCCTGATTTAGGAAACGCCCAAATGGGTATGCGTTGAGACTAGGCACCGGCCCCTCAACAATTGGTTTCAAGTTGCTTGCCGCTTGGTTCTTGACACACAGGTGGTTCCCTTCAAAACGATGTGCCCGCAAGAACCTGGCTTGCAACAAATTGGCTGACGTGAACCTCGGCCCCATTTCCCCCTCTTCCCCCCCCCCCTCCACCTGGATCATTCTGACGAAAAATAACCTGCCGCACTGCAACATCACCGAGTTTCGGAAGTGGGTGTATAGTGGTACATATATATATATATACAATGTATACATACCCACAAAACATACGTGTCGCCCACAAGGTCTTCTTATGCTGTATGATCGTCCTGCCAGGTGTGTTATCCGCCGATGTATCCGGCTTTCAGGAATTGGCTCCTGCCAGGTTTAGGGTTTTTAGGCTTGAGGTTTAGGGTTTTAGGGTTTAGGTTTAGGGTTTTTAGGCTTGAGGTTTAGGGTTTTTAGGGTTCAGGTTTAGGGTTTTTAGGCTTTAGGTTTAGGGTTTTTAGGCTTTAGGTTTAGGGTTTTTAGGGTTTAGGTTTAGGGTTTTTAGGCTTTAGGTTTAGGGTTTTAGGGTTTAGGTTTAGGGTTTTTAGGCTTTAGGTTTAGGGTTTTTAGGCTTTAGGTTTAGGGTTTTTAGGGTTTAGGTTTAGGGATTTTAGGCTTTAGGTTTAGGGTTTTAGGGTTTAGGTTTAGGGTTTTTAGGGTTTAGGTTTAGGGATGTTAGGGTTTAGGTTTAGGGTTTTAGGGTTTAGGTTTAGGGTTTTTAGGGTTTAGGTTTAGGGTTTTTAGGGTTTAGGTTTAGGGTTTTTAGGCTTTAGGTTTAGGGTTTTTAGGGTTTAGGTTTAGGGTTTTAGGGTTTAGGTTGAGGCTTCGGTTTGCCTTTTTTTTCTTGTTTCGGGGTTGTGTCAGAGAAGAGCTTCAGAAAGGCACTTTGGGACTCAGTCCGCACGATGCCTACCGCCTGGAAGCCTAGACGGGCCATAATGGCTGCCAAGTTGATGATAGCAGTATAAAAACAGGAAAAGTCGCCACGCTCCACGAAGGGGGGTGGCGCATGGAGCTTGGGTGGGGCCGGGTGGGGGTCGGAAGTGCGTTTTTGCTGCGCCTGCCACGTTTTTTGAAGGTCTCGGGGACCCGCTTCCGGGCGGTCGCGGGCAACAGGTACGTTTTGCCCGTATACATACATATCCTTCTCACGTGTTCTGAAAACTCCATGCTGAGGCATCCTCAAGGTGGCATGGGAACGCCAAATAGCCTCGAGCTGTAGACTCCGAGCCTCACCCATGGCCAAACAAAGCGTTTGGGGCAAATTATGTCAAGTCCGTACAATTCCCAAACCGGACAATGGATCCCCAGGCAAGGACCTTCATAGGCGACTTGCGTGAGCAAGCAAGGCGTCTCCACCAGCTTCATTGGAAATGGACCACGGTTGCCCTACTTGACCCCGCCCAAACCGTATGTCACTTCCCACTGAAATGGACCAACCTTTTACCCCGTCACTTCCCGTTTTGGCAGAAAACTTCCCTCCCCCAACATCGTGCCTTCTTGTGCCTTTTTTTGGGGTGTGCCTTGAGCCTGGTTCCTGCTGAATCCCGAATCGCCTGTCCCTTGAGCTCGGTGAGGAACTCTGAGCTCTTCGCCAGCCTCCAGTTGACATTCCATAGATCAAGGGCTCTCTGCGCTACAAGGCCCGCGTAAGGCCATAATAACACGGCCCCTGAAAAGATACGTTTGGGGTATGTATTCAAACAGTGGATGTAACCTTCCGGAACCTTCAAGGCAGCGCCCCGTGGGTGTGTCTTTTCTCGAGGGTCCCCTTCTGCTCCTGGTAAAGGAGTACGAATGACGCGACTTTGGGGGTCCCCAAGACACGACATCGCAAAGCCATGGTCAACCAGCCCTCTGAGGTTTCCGCACCCGGTTCGCAAAGCCAGGCCCCGCGCGTGTGGATGATGCCCGGGGTAGTCTCCTTGCACAAAACCCACCATACTTCCGGATAGGCATGGAACCAAAACCAGCCTTAGAGAATGCAGCTGAAAGCTTGAAACCCGTGAACACTTGGAAGCGCCGACTTGGATTCCAACTGGTGAATCCGATTGTCCCTGACAAGCTACTGCCAAGGGGCCAAATCCTTTTGCAACCCAAGGAACACTTCCTGAGAAAAAGTCTGGGCTTGACACAAAACTGATCTCGCAAAAACATTGAAAACCCGCAAACCACGCAAGTGCAAATGAGTGGCCTGGCCAATTCACGGGCCGACGTCACCGACCCCACCCGGACCCCGAAGCAACGGAAATAAGGCCCATAGTGCAACGCCTCCAACTTGTTGAAGAAGTCCACCTGAGTGGACGTGGGCACCACCAACAGGGTTGCTTCAAGGATGCATCTCCAAACCGCCTGTTTGCACACCAGACACTCAATTGGGTTTTGAGGGGGTTGGGTTTGTTTTTTTCGGGGCCGGCGGACAAATGTTCAATTGCATTTTCAACCAGCAAACATTTTGTTCATTTCATCAATGGGGTTCCTAGGGTTTTTCTATAATTTCAATACATTGTTTTACAGTATTTCGCTCATACCAGCCTAAGATTTTTACATTTTCAATTTTACTGTTGTAGGCCATTTTAGGCTTTCTGGCGAATAGGAGGGTTTAATTCAACCATCACCGGCAAGAGGCACCACCCACAAGTTTGCGCCAAGATGACAGATTACGTTGGTTTACAAGACCAAGCGTGCCGACAGCTACTCTCAGGAGCTGAGACAGCAACACAAGACAATGATGACCTTGAAACAGCAGCACCAGGCCACAGCAGAACATTGGAGGCAACTTGGGAGCGAGCTCAACTACATGTTCGTTAACACTTGTTACGACACTGCAGCAACAATCTGCAGACAACATGCAACAAGCACTGGATTCGAGATCTGGAGACAACTCCACATCCGGTTCTCGACACCAATTGGCACACGAAGTACCGAGCACCATACGAAGCTCCTCAAGCCAGTTCGACGCACAGACGTTTGAAGACACCTACACAGGCGCAGCCCGAAGAAGCGCCTCGGCCGAGCGAGCGCGCCTTGTATGAAAGAAAGCAGGATGATGTCCATAGAGCCCCGCAACGAGCCGCAGATGCTTCGGTGGTTCTGCAAGACCTACCCGAGCTATCCCTTTCCATTGCGCTTTCCTTTGCTGTGGAATCCTGATAACCCTTTTCCTCCTCTGTATGGGTTTCCTGGTCCGATGGGACCCTGCCACCTGCCTTTGTTGCAACCAGTGTTGAAGTTGGCGCGACTCCGACGCCCCCCCTTTCCTTTGTTGCGTTTGCCTTTGCTCCCCTTTCCCTTGTCCGTTGTTGTTCTTGCTGCCTTTGTGCCGCCGACGATCACTTCTGTCCGTCACGCTTCTCAGCGGTCGCTTTTTGCATGTGATTGAAGGTCTCTGTCCGTCCTCTGTCCGCCGCGGTTCTCAGCAGTCACTCTTTCCATGTCTTTGAAAGTCTCTGTCCGTCACGGTTCTTACTGGTCGCTTGTTCCACGTCATTAAAGTTCTTTGTTCGTCACGATCCGTTGCTTTTTCCATGTCTTTGAAAGTCTCTATCCGTCACAGCTCTTACTGGTCGTTTTCTCCGTGTCCATAAGTTCTCTGGCCGTCACGGTTCTTAACGGTCGCTTCTTCCACTTTGCTAAAATTGTCTGTCCGTCGTTAAAAAATTGTCTGCCCATCACGGTTCTCACGGATCGATTCTTCCACTTCGTTAAAATTCTTAGTCCGTCATGGTTCTCACTCGGTCGCTTTTTCCATGTCGTTAAAGTTCTCTGTCCGCCACGGTTCCTTTAAAAGTTCCCTGTCCTTCACATGTAATGACATCTGGCCTTTGCAAATCTTTGCTGCTGTGTATGTTGCCTTCTTGTTGTTGCGTCTGTGTGCTTTTCGAAGTTTGATTTAATTTATTCACATATGGTAACCCATGGACCATGGTGAGCCTTGTGCCACACCTGTACGTGATTAGAACCCTGTCGGCAGATCCTGTCGGCTTCTGTCAGCTTTGTCGTTATCTGTCGCTTTCTGTCCGGTTCTTTCGGCTTCTTTCGGTTTATGTCGGCTTATGTCGGTTTATGTCGGTTTTTGCGCATGCCTAATTATGCGATCTGTTCCCCTTCGATATGTTGCCTTTTGGCTTAATGGCACACCATCTGCACGCCGACGCAAGAAGCAACCCACCAAAACTCAGTTGCTGTCGCACGGCCCTGTGAATCAAAGTGCCGTTGCAGGGCGGGCGCTGTTGCCAGCAGGTTGCCGCGCTCCATCAGAAGTTGCCCCCACGGCGCGTTGCAAGGTTTTGCGGTTAAGGGGAGGGGGGACGTCTGAAAATGTAATTTGCATTTCTGGGGTTTGGCACTAAAAAATGTAAGATTACATTTTCTTCGGGGGACATGCCAAATGTAAGATTACATTTTGTATGCTGGTGGGCCTATCGCACATAACCAAGTAACAACTTCATGAACTTGCCGCACTTCTAAAAAGCCTCTGCGCATGGGCCATCTGCCCTTCCAGCATCATCAGCTTACATTTTGCGACAGACCCACCCTATCAAGTGTTTCAGGTAAGGGGGGTGAGAAACAGTAACTTTCGACGTGCCTAGGTGTCAAGTTACATTTTAACCCCCCCCCCTTAAAACCCCGGATACACCTGTGGGCCAGGAAGGGGTGGGGGTCCCCTTACATTTCTTCTTGTTTTTCCCAAAAGCATTGCGAAGGGCTCTTCTGTGCGGAGCTCTTGGTCAACTTGCGCAGAGTAGCTTGCACAGAGTCACCAGCATGGAGATAATACCAGGAGCTCTTGGTCAACTTGCGCAGAGTAGCTTGCACAGAGTCACCAGCATGGAGATACCAGCATGGAGATACTTGCGCAGAGTCACCAGCATGGAGATACTTGCACAGTCACCAGCATGGAGTCACCAGCATAGAGTTACTTGCGCAGAGCCAAGTACAAAGAGCCAAGCGCATAGAGCCAAGTGCTCAGAGCGAAGTGCAAAGAGCGAGGTGCAAGGAGCCAAGTGCACAGAGCCAAGTGCACAGAGCCAAGTGCAAAGAACGAAGTGCATCGAGCCAGGTGCATAGAGCCAAGTGCATAGAGCTAGGTGCATAGAGCTAAGCTAAGCTAGGTGTAGAGGCTCGGCGGTAGCAGCTGTGTAAGCTAGGTTAAGTAAGTTAGTTTAAGTACTTATCGCGCGGGAAAGAAAGAGGAAGAGCTCGGTATTAAGAAATCTCTTTTAAGGCGGGGGGTGGGGATGTTGCCAACAATCGGGAATGCGACCCTCTGCGGGGATCGGCGTGGTCAAGGTGCAAAAACTCGAGGTTTTTTGATGTTTTATTGAAATGCCCGCGCGACCCTCTGAGGAGATCGGCGTGGTCGAGGTGCAAAAACTCAAGGTTTTTTTTAACGGCGCGACCCTCTGCGGGGATTGGCGTGGTCGAGGCGCAAAAACTCGTGGTTTTTTGTGTTTTTTTGGATATGCCCGCGCGACCCTCTGCGGAGATCGGCGTGGTCGAGGTGCAAGAACCGGTTGTTGGTTTTTTTCCGGTGCCCGCGCGACCCTCTGCGGGGATCGGCGTGGTCGAGGTGCAACAACTCGAGGTTCTTTTGCGCTTTTTGCGGTGCCCGCACGACCCTCTGCGGGGATCGGCGTGGTCGAGGTGCAAAAACTCGAGGTTGGTGTTCTTTTCCGGTGCCCGCGCGACCCTCTGCGGGGATCGGCGTGGTCGAGGTGCAACAACTCGAGGTTCTTTTGCGCTTTTTGCGGTGCCCGCGCGACCCTCTGCGGGGATCGGCGTGGTCGAGGTGCAAAAACACGAGGTTCAAGGTTTTTATGCGTTTTTTTGCGGTGCCCGCGCGACCCTCTGCGGATCGTGCGTCTCGAAGCGCTCTCGCTGCGGCGCCGTGCGTCTCGAAGCGCTCTTGCTGTGGCGCCGTGCGATTTTGCTTTCGCAATCCCGCGGTCGCGGGTTCGATTCCCCCCTGGTCCGCGGCAGCTCCGGCTTGAAAAATCGCAGCTTTTAAGTACAAACGTAGTACGCGGAGCGTGCTCCTGCAGCTCCGGCTGGAAAATTGCAACTTTTAAGTACCGACGCAGTATGCCGCAGCTCCGGCTGGAAAATCGCAACTTTTAAGTACAAACGTAGTACGCGGAGCACACTCCCGCAGCTCCGGCTGGAAAATCGCAACTTTTAAGTACAAAAATAGTACGCGAAGTACATTCCCACAGCTCCGGCAGCACTTGCGCAGAGCAACTTGCGCAGAGCAACTTGCGCAGAGCAACTTGCGCAGAGCAACTTGCACAGACCAACTTGCACAAAGCACTTGCGCAGAGCGCTTGCACGGAGCAACTGGCGCAGAGCACTTGCGCAGAGCAACTTGCTGCGCAGAGCAACTTGCACAGAGCACTTGCGTGCAGCAGCTTGCAGAGAGCAACTTGCGCGCAGCAGCCTGGAACAATGCAGCTTGCGCAGACCACTTTCGTGAGAAATCGCGCGGCGCAGTTCGTGCAAAGCACATTGCGCCGAGCAGACTCGTGCAGAGCCACCTTGCAAAGAGCCAGATGCGCAGAGTCACTCGCGAAAAGTCGCCTGCGTAGACCCAACTTTCACAGAGCCAAGCTGCGCAGAGCCATCTTGCACAGAGCTAAGTTGCTCGAGCGTGCTTTGCAGAAACTGTGGCCGTCGTGTAAGCTTTGCTATTGATTGCTTCTCCTTTTGCTTGTTATTCGTTTCGAGCTTTACGAGCTTTACTCTTCTTGTTTTAACGGATGTAAATATGTGGGATCGAGCACTGCCATGTTTCCTCTCGTAGGACGATGACATGGAGCTCTCATGTGACCATACACATTGAGCATCGCCGCGTGCGGACATGCTCGCCGCAGCGATGTAAAAAGGTGTCTCCGTGGCTGGATGAGCGCCTGGGAAAAATGCTTTCGGGCCAATCGTCCTCTAGTTCTTTCCCGAAAGCATCGCGAAGGGTTCTTCCGTGCGGAGCCCTTGGACAAGTTACACAGAGCCAAGTTGCACAGAGCCAAGTTGCACAGAGCCAAGTTACATAGAGCCAAGTTACATAGAGCCAAGTTACATAGAGCCAAGTTACATAGAGCCAAGTTACATAGAGCCAAGTTACATAGAGCCAAGTTACATAGAGCCAAGTTACATAGAGCCAAGTTACATAGAGCCAAGTTACATAGAGCCAAGTTACATAGAGCCAAGTTACATAGAGCATAGAGCCAAGTTACATAGAGCCAAGTTACATAGAGCCAAGTTACATAGAGCCAAGTTACATAGAGCCAAGTTACATTACATAGAGCCAAGTTACATAGAGCCAAGTTACATAGAGCCAAGTTACATAGAGCCAAGTTACATAGAGCCAAGTTACATAGAGCCAAGTTACATAGAGCCAAGTTACATAGAGCCAAGTTACATAGAGCCAAGTTACATAGCCAAGTTACATAGCCAAGTTACATAGAGCCAAGTTACATAGAGCCAAGTTACATAGAGCCAAGTTACATAGAGCCAAGTTACATAGAGCCAAGTTACATAGAGCCAAGTTACATAGAGCCAAGTTACATTTAGAGCCAAGTTACATAGAGCCAAGTTACATAGAGCCAAGTTACATAGAGCCAAGTTACATAGAGCCAAGTTACATAGAGCCAAGTTACATAGAGCCAAGTTACATAGAGCCAAGTTACATAGTTACATAGAGCCAAGTTACATAGAGCCAAGTTACATAGAGCCAAGTTACATAGAGCCAAGTTACATAGAGCCAAGTTACATAGAGCCAAGTTACATAGAGCCAAGTACATAGAGCCAAGTTACATAGAGCCAAGTTACATAGAGCCAAGTTACATAGAGCCAAGTTACATAGAGCCAAGTTACATAGAGCCAAGTTACATAGAGCCAAGTTACATAGAGCCAAGTTACATAAGAGCCAAGTTACATAGAGCCAAGTTACATAGAGCCAAGTTACATAGAGCCAAGTTACATAGAGCCAAGTGACACAGAGCCAGGTGGCACAGAGCCAAGGTTAGGTAGAGCTTGCGTAGAGCTTCGGCGTTAGCAGCTATGTAAGTTAGTTTAGGTTTCTAAGGCGCCGGGGCGGGAGTTTGATCGTCGCTCGGGATTGCGACCCTCTGCGGAGATTCGCGTGGTCGAGGTCAAAAAACTGAGGACTTTTTACGATTTCTGCGGGCCGCGCGCGACCCTCTGCGGAGATTCGCGTGGTCGAGGTTCAAAAACTGAGGACATTTTACGATTTCTGCGGTCCGCGCGCGACCCCTCTGCGGAGATTCGCGTGGTCGAGGTTCAAAAACTGAGGACTTTTTACTATTTCTGCGGTCCGCGCGCGACCCTCTGCGGGGATTCGCGTGGTCGAGGTTCAAAAACTGAGGACTTCGCAAGCCGCGCGCGACCCTCTGCGGGGATCGTGCGCGTCGAAGCGCTCTCGCTGTGGCGCCGTGCGAATTTGTCTTGGTCTCGGCGAACCCTCTGCGGAGATTGTGCGTGTCGACTCGCTCTCGCTGTGGCGCCGTGCAATATTCGAAACGGCCTTTGGAAGTTGTCTCGTGGTTTGCGCGCCTGCTTTCGCAATCCCGCGGTCGCGGGTTCGATTCCCCCCTGGTCCGCGGCAGCTCCGGCTTGAAAATCGCAGCTTTTAAGTACAAACGTAGTACGCGGAGCGTGCTCCTGCAGCTCCGGCTGGAAAATCGCAACTTTTAAGTGTAGTATGCGGAGCGTGCTCCCGCAGCTCAGGCTGAAAAATCACAACTTTTAAGTACAAACGTAGTACGCGGAGCACACCCCCGCAGCTGCGGCTGGAAAGTCGCAACGTAGTACGCGGACCGTACTCCTGCAGCTCCGGCTGGAAAATCGCAACTTTTAAGTACAGACGTAGTATGCGGAGCGTGCTCCCGCGCAACGTTTAAGTACAAACGTAGTACGCGGAGCACACCCCCGCAGCTCCGGCTGGAAAAACGCAACTTTTAAGTACAAAAATAGTATGCGAAGTACATTCCCACAGCTCCGGCAGCACTTGCGCAGAGCACTTGCGCACACTTGCGCAGAGCACTTGCGCAGAGCAACTTGCGCAGCACAAAGCACTTGCGCAGAGCTTGCGCAGACCAACTTGCACAGAGCACATGCGCAAAGCGCTTGCACGGAGCAACTGGCGCAGAGCACTTGCGCAGAGCAACTTGCTCAGAGCACTTGCGCAAGCAACTTGCACAGAGCACTTGCGCAAAGCGCTTGCACGGAGCAACTGGCGCAGAGCAACTTGCACAGACCAACTTGCACAGAGCACATGCGCAAAGCGCTTGCGCGGAGCAACTGGCGCAGAGCACTTGCGCAGAGCAACTTGCTCAGAGCACTTGCGCAGAGCAACTTGCACAGAGCACTTGCGTGCAGCAGCGTGCAGCAGCTTGCAGAGAGCAACTTGCGCGCAGCAGCCTGGAACAATGCAGCTTGCGCAGACCACTTTCGTGAGAAATCGCGCGGCGCAGTTCGAGAGGAAAGTAGGATGATGAGATGGAGCTCTCATGTGACCATACACACTGAGCATCGCCGCGCGCAGACACGCTCGCCGCAGCGATGTAAAAAGGTGTCTCCGCGGCTGGATGAGCGCCTGTGGAAAAATGCTTTCAGGCCAATCGTCCTCTAGTCTTTGAGGGGAGGGGAAATGCAAATTACATTTTCAGACGTCCCTCCCCCCCCCCCCGCATTTTCGGGACCTAAGGGGGTGGGATGTTGTGCGCAGCAGGCTTCGCAAAGCAGCTGAGACGCTGCTCCATCCCGCGGGCGCAGCATGCCATTGCAAGGTGCTTCGCGCTGCTGCCAGTTGCTTTTGCAGCGCCGTTTGCAAAATGCTGCTGCGAGATGTACGCTGCGGCCTGCCTTTGCAAGTTCTGCTGCTGGGCGCTATTACAGCGCGCTTGCGAGCATATAAGCGTTGCGCAGGTTGCCGCGGCGGCTTTCCGCATTGAGTAAATTTATTAAACATCCGCCAGGATTGCAACATCACCCTGCAACACCGCCCGGCACCCCTTCCTTACTTGAAGTTAGAACCCCTTTAGTTTTGAGTTATCTGTGGAAAACACCATAGATACCTTATGCGGAAAGTCGCATGTGTTTAGTGGCTGTTTTCATAGGGTTTTTTAGGGATGCCAGGGGACTGACGGTCTTCGCACCGTTGGCTTTTGATCCGCCGCCGAGCTGGGCACCCCCGGCAGCCAGCCAGCAAAAGCCCCAGGATGATGAACCCCCTAAATGCTTCTGCCACAAGCTCAACCCCCGAGTCAAGTTAAAGCAGCTCAAGATTCTCAAGCCCGACATGCTTCAAGGGGTTCCAACTCGCGTTCAAAGAGAACTGCCATAAATGGATGTCTCGTTTTGGGGGCCCCACCACCCCCCGCCCAATGACCTGGTGTACCCTCAAACAAAATTCCCTAAATCGGGGCCGTCCTGGCACGCTTCCCATGTTCGGCCCCCGGGCGGACTGCAGCGCCCCGCAGGCCCGAGCCACGTCTACGAACTCCGCCAGTACCTTCCGAGTTTGGGCGGCCCTGTTTTTCCGGGGATTGCTGAAAAGTGGAAGCCAAAGGAAAGCTACACGTTTGGCCTTAGATACAGTCATGTTTAGGGCGCCTACCATTTTGAGACAAAACCAGGTTTGGGCGAAGCTTCTCTGGAAAGGGGGCCACAGGAACCCAGTCCAAAAACTGAATGTAATGTGTCCAAATATGAGCGCGCGCTTTGTCCGAGATTGGTGTCTTGAGGATTCTGAAAGGCTGGTTTAAGGGGGGCGGTCTTAGGTCGTCTTTAACGCTGTGTTCTTCGGCGAATCCCGATTTGCGTGCAAAGGGAACCTCCTCCTAAATGGGAGCCCAAATGTCGGGCGCCCCGCAGTGTGAAATCCTAAAAATCCGATCCCTTGAAGAGTGGCTGCAGTTTCCTCAGCTTCCTCAGCAACTGTGACTGTCTAGAGTTAGGGCCAAGTATCCGGACAAAAGCAGCAACTTAGCGATCTAGGAGGATCAATTATCAATGGGTCAACTCCACACAAACTTCTCCAACTCGACTTGCTTACGAGAAAGGGGCTGGTTCAAGCGCCCATGGGCATCGGTTGCTAATTCGGACTGAAAAGTGGCAGACCCCACCTGGTGTTCAGCCAAACCCTCTCTTGGAGGTTGAAAAAAGTTCAACAGAGTGGCCGTGACCCGGTGAGTGATGGCAAAGCCAAAGGCTTGCCAAATCCTTGGAGGTAAACGAAATGGCTTCACTAGAGTGCCAGCCTTCAAGATCGGTCCGTGGGAACGATCTTGATTGCCTTGAAACACCCCTTCTTTGGTTTGCTGTTGCCTGTTGCGAGGTGGCTGCCTTCCGCGCAGCTAAGCGCAAACTTGAAAACGCTTTCACCAACCTGTTTTACACAGGTCGGTTTCGTCCGCGGCCTGTTGAAGTATGTATCAACGCAATGTGGAACGGCAGGACCCAGCATGTTTTCCCCCTAGCTGCTCGACTTGCGGGTGGCGGCGTTTGAAGGGGACCCTTCACTGTTGGGCGGAATCACCCCATCATGAAGCCTTGCGAAAGGCGACAGCGTTGACCACCAGCAGCTCACAGTCCTCCAGGCACCTGCGCTCGCTGCAAGTGTTGGAGGCGCGCCACAACAAGAAACAACCGCAACAAACCAACACTGGAACGCACCACCATGCGTTGTGGAGGCAAGGAGCGTTTTAAGAACAAGCCCACACCTGCCCGTGGCCTGACAGATGCACTCCGAGGGGCATCCGACAGGAGAGACACTTCCTGAAACGCGCATGCGGCGCGTTGGCTTCCAGGGACATAGGGTTAGCCCCTCGGCTTAGCCTTCAAAAACAGGATTCATGAACAAAGGCTTGCGCACACGCAGCCCGCAAAGAAGGTTTTTAAGGGTTGAAACCCTGCCGAACCCACTGCCTGATCAAGCCTGATCAAGCCTCTAGAGTTCTGCTGGTTTTCACGCGCTGCTCTCACAAACACCCACTAAAACTGCAAACGACCAAAGAACAAAAGCGAGTGGCCTCGCCAAAGGAAAGGGTCCTCTTGAAAGCAGGTCTAAGGGCTTGGTAACAACAAGTACATATCTATGCTGTTTGCTCTTTCCATCTAGCTTCTTGATGCATTCATCCTGGCTGATTCGCTTTGTATCACGCCATGGGCTGCAAAGTGATCAACACGACGCTGGCTTTGTGTCTTCCGTGTGAGTGGTTCGCCAGGGCAGCGGCGCCAAAGACGGCGCCGCTCTCCAAAACGTTCACCTCTCGCCGGAAGCGACGCAGCTATCATCAAAGCCCACGCCCAGAGACAACCGACAGAAAAACCTTGGGAGAATTGCACCAAACCATGCGTGTTGGTGGTTGTTGACTACCTTCATCTGAGTTGCATGCAGCTGCCCATTTCGGACGGGAGCCCCAAGCACGGGGGCAAGTAGGAAACAATTGACAGCCAAATTCAGTGTGTAGGCCTTATACAAGGATTGTTTGATATCAGGCCTGCGCAACGGAGTTGAGCAAATAAGAAAAATCACAGTTCATGGCCCGATGTTCTTGCCCGACGGTTGATCTTGTTCCCTCGGCGTGGCTTTCTTTTGGCGGACATCGGATACCTCAGGATTTTATGTCCGCTTGCCAAAGAGGGTGTTCAGTGTTCCGACATGTCTTCCAGAAGCTTGAGCCGGAAGTTCCACGGAAGAATAACTCGCCCCCCAAGCACCCAGAGCAACTTTTTAGTGAAGCTGCCCTTCCAACAAAAAAGCGGAAGCAACTGCTATCGACTTGGGGCCTTCGCCAAGGGCAACCCGTCCGACGGTGAAATACAAGACCCTTGGATCCACGCAGTCGGGGAGGAGATCAAAGCATGCACCGACCCTACACAAGCCAACCCCCAAAGACTTCCTGATGGCGCACATAGCAATGGAAGCTTCAGGTTTATTGTAGTGAGGCTATCTTTGCGGTGATGCTTAAAGGAATTCTTGAAGTGAGCAACTCCCTCTGGCCCCGTTCAGCGCGCCTGCGGGCCCAAATCGGAATCCTCCGAAGCAAAAAACAAAAGTGAGGGGGTCTGATCTGCTGCACTTTAAGGTTGGCTCTCTGGGCCCCCCCGAAAAAGGTTCCAGGCAATTTGGGAGGGCGTGGGGGGGGGGGGGATTTTGCAAAGTTGCGGAGCAAACATGTTCCGCGCCGAGGATAAATGAAAGAGGTTCTAAACATGGAGAAAATTGGCACTAGGGCTGTGGTTTTTTTTGGCGCTGGGGTGGACGCCGTGGTTTCTTCGTGCAGCGGCTCCAGCGCCGAGAGGCAAAGTCAGCTTGTGGAAACGTTCGTTGATACTGCGCCAAACGCTACACTGCAGCAGAGTGCAAGGAGCGAAAATAAAAGAGGCAGTGTGCACCATCCATGTCGCACGCCAGGCGTCCAAACCGCACAGCCTATACGACCGCGGACATGCTGCCACGTTTCACGAAGCAACTGCGTTGGATTAGCGGGCTTCACTTGGTCTACAGATGGCACCATACTATTTGGTCCACAGTCTTGTTAGTATTTGGTTGGTGTTAAGCCTCGAATTTCTCGTGTCAATCGGATTCTCAGCTTTATACCCTCGCCAATGCCATGGGCTATTGTCAGGTTTGACTGAAGCAATGTGTTGCATGGACAACAGTCATGGTGCATGTTCTGTATCTGCAGTGTTAATAAGGTTCCATTTCTGGTACGGTTCTCCAAAATTCAGCATAATATCCTTCTGCTAGTGCTAGCATGTCTACTTGCATTTCTTCAGCATTTTCTAGAACTTGTTGGTTGGGCTTTGTGGCAAGCAGGTGTTTGTCTGTCTGTATTAGCGTGTGCACGTGAGTCTGCCACGCCTGCGCCCGAGTCGTCAGCTGCAGCCGAAACCAGGCAGGACTCGCAATATATACACGTGATTGAAGAAGAATCGATGTTCGACTCTGAAGACTTTGCGTAGGCTCATGCGCTTTCACGCGCGCACACGTCAGGACTACCAACCTGCAAACTTCAATTACTTTGAAGAAGTTCAAGAAAACCTTCCTTCGCGACTTTCAGCTTCAGTCCGCGCTGCGCCCATAGCAGGGCTTAAACTGTGCACAAGGGATAGCATGGAACACATGCAAAAGCCAAGGCGTAGATGTGCAGAACAGACTGCGCTTCAATGGAGAAAAGCGCTTCTCTACTGGCACGATCAATCATGATCAATCAGGTTGGCTGGATGGCGCTGGTGCCAGTGGGTGCGCGCAACGAGGATATGCTGCACGCCGGAGCTAGACGTGTTTTATGGGATTAGCACAAGGACTGCGAATGCATGTTCTCCGTGGGGACACCTGCACCAGTGCGTGCCGAAAAACAACGGAGACACCGAGAAACATCAAACACCAGTCAGACACCTGCGAATGACTGGTTCGGCGTGCCTTATATCTGTAAGGCAGGCAAAAAGAACCGTAGTAGACTGTGCAAGGGTGTGCGATGAGGGGTGCGTGAACACGAGCAGGTGGCCTCGCGCAAAACGAGTTTCTGGGCTGTGCAGAACCTTAATCCATACTCCCTATACGGCAGCCCTTCAAAGAGGACCCTTGCGTAACCCAAGAGAACAAATAGGAATTTTCGTTTGAGAGGAAAATAACCAAAAGGAGGTACGCCAAAATTGGCTTTTAAGTATCTCTTTATCCTTGGGCTCGCTTGGCTTGGTGACGTAACTGTCCAACAGTTGACTCCCTCCAAAGTCAGACCCCTGAGCAGGGAAAAAGGCTAGTTTTCGCCCCTGAAACGCCTGCACAAGTAGGCAAATGCCAACCCCAAGCTATGCAACTCCCAGGGCTGGTCTTGCTTTCAACCAGTGAAATTCATAGCCCGCCTTTCTTGCCAACCCCTGCATCAAAAAGAAAAAGACAACGCGGAAAGTTGCAAAAGAAAGAACTCGAAAACATTTCGCTTCCTTGCGGTTTCCCTTTAAAGGCCCCTACGTCACCAAGCCCGGCCACGACCGCTGAAAAAGTTGCCATGAGCAAGCCTGAGGATCTTAAGGACATGACCCATTTGGAGGCTCCCCCCAGTTTGGAGACACCTACCAGCTGGGCTTGAGAACTCCTCCGCTGGAGTACTTGTTTTCAGAACGAAGTCCCGTTGCTTGCTCGATATGACTATGATAGATTATATGGCTCGCCGTCCTGGCGACAAACCTGTGTTGATGGGCCAAAAAAAACGGGTCCTTTGGCGCATGTTAGTGGCACTCAACAAATATTCGCGATTTTGCGCCCGGATGAGGCGAAACCTTCCCGGCCACCAAAGCTCCCGGCGCTGCAAGGCGCCCTCTCCGTCCTCCCGGAAACAATTGAAGCCCTCCACCGTGGCATAGACCTCAGGATTCGCAGGGGTGCTTGAAGGATACACCTTCACAATAATAAAAGATGGTAAGAGCCACCTTCACCAGCTGCTTCAAGGGTTCCGAAGTGTACCTGCTCATTCCTCGGTGTATCTGAGGAGTCTTGATCTGGTTCCCAAATTCGCATCTCATGGGCGAAATTGAATCTGCGCGTGTCGGTGCAGATTCCAATTCGTATGACGCCCTGGCGCAACCAGATTCCAACCTTGGAGAATTGGCGGTTGCCTTGCTTCCCCTTTCCCTCCACAAAAGATTGCCTCAGTTATGGAGACCCTCCAAAGGTGGGGCGCTTGGTGTGGCCCAACAATGGACCCACTTGATGTCAAAGTCGGGCTCCCCATGAATCAATTGAAAGGGGATCCCTACCACCATCTCTAAAACATGTTCCAGCAAATTCATCCATTCACTTTGACGCGCTTCACCGTTCCAGCTACTTGTGGGAAGTCACCTCCGCTCACCGTTGTCCTAAGGAAACATCAAGGGTTGAACCCCCAAGAGATGCTTGGGCTCGCCTCCCACTTCCTTTTGGTCTCTTTCTCAACAAACCATCCAGAAGGAGCTACAGGAGCTACAATCCCAGGACGCCGAGTCTGTGAAGTCAGGATCTTACGATGGACTTCACCTGGAAAGCCAGCGTAAGCACCAACAACAAGGCACGTAGACTTCAGACGTGTGCAGCTGGCGCGGTTGCTTGCAATGCAGCTGGCGCGGATGTTTGCGCGCGGGAACTGAGCGTATCTTCTGTGGACCTTTGCGGAAAAGAAACCGGGTTGTTTGTAAACAAGAACCGCATGTGCGCCCTTGTCGTAAATTCCACGAAAAGCAGAATCAAAAGCCAACTCTCTTGCCCAGGAACCTGGAAACAAGGCGTTAACTACTCTTTTGAGGTGTCTGGAAATGGAACGAAAAGGGAAACCGGCCCAAATTAATAAACCCACCCCGTGACAATGGGGGCTGTCCCTTCAATCGTGATGACCCCCACAAAAGGACACCCCCCTTTTTATCAACCAGAACCAGGGGTGCAACATAAATCCCGGGTTTGATTAAGGTTGGCTTTGCACAACTGGGTGAATCCAAAGATGTCAGTGACTTCCCGTTGGTCGGCAGAAGCATGGAACACGCGCTCCCAACCAGGTTCCCGTGCCGGCCGGCCAGCCTCGTCTTCCCTGGCAAAGGAGCTGAAGAAAAACGACCCTGAGATGCCCAGGTAAGGATCCGATGAAGCCGTATGTGGAAACCCTGTTTTACCAACCCCAACCTAGTGTTTGAGCCTTACTTACCAAAACAAGCTTCCCTTTGAAAAGTTGACTTTGCTGTCACATGTTGTTTGACAAGGTGACTCTATCCGTTCATCTGCAGGCAAAGACGATGAACAAAGAGGATGGGAAAAAGAAGGGATCTGTCATGTTCATCATATCTTTCTAAAACCTAAAACTCTATTCTGCGACTTCACTTGAAGTCGGTCTGGAGGGATTGGAACAGCATGTGCGCGACCACGCTGCCCTTGCTAGACCACTGCAATTGGAAAAGCACCTTGGGAGTACCTCCCAAGGAAACGAGCAAGTAGTGACCATCGTTCCCCACTCTGAAGTCAAGAAACCCCAAACAAGGTACCTTCGTTTGCGGGTGAGCTCATTGTAACCCCCCAAGCCGGTAGCGCCGGCCTTGGCTCAAGCCTCTTCACTTCAGCCTTCTCCCTTGGCGAGCAGGTTGGTTGGGGCCTACCCGTCCCCCCAGTCCTCCCAAGAACCCAATCAGGCCCCAATCGACATGCGCCCCCCAATCGACATGCGCCCTTGCTGCTTGCTTCCCTTGAAACAAAACCTCAAGAAACACAGGACCGAAAGACAATGTTGGCATGAGCCCACTAGCTTCAATCTAACGTATATTCAGGAACAGGGCCACGCAGGATCTTTCGATTGGGCATCCCGAGGTGGACATCATTTTCATTGGGATTCAAATTCATAGCAATGCTCAGTTCTAGGCCCAATGCCCAGACAACCAGAAGGTTCCCATGAACCCTCACATAGGGCAACTCCAAAGCTTGGCCCTTGGCAAAGGAAAGCATCGGAAACAACTTCCTGGGATTGGTGCCTCTCCGGGTCTACTTGCCGTTCACTCCAACGCCGCCTCCCAGGCCCACTGAATCGAATGCGGGGCTGCCTGAGGGGCTCGGCTTGGAGGGAGCCCTTTTTGGCGCATACAAAAAGCCGCAGGAAAAACCTTCAATTTTGGAGGAGCCAATTGTTTCTTTTTTTCTAATCTCCAGACACAACCACGCAGTTCTTGACCTGGCAAATCGTTCACGCATGAGTGGGAACCACTTGATCATGGGTAATTGAGCAGAGCCAACCTGAAGGCTCTGGAACTCCATTGTTCAACAAGTCTCCGCTTCATCTTTAGTGGTTTGGACCCGTTTGTCGCTTTGGCAGTTGGGGGGCCCATCTTCCCACTTGCCTCCGCGTCTGCTCCAAGGCCCCCCGCGGGGCCGCAAAGTTCATCTTCACCTTCCAGGATGCCGCCGCGCGCTCCCTGGCGCGAAAGAAACGCAGGGCCACGAACGGCTCAGAGGAAGGCGCCCAGGTGGATTCAGGAAAGGGAAAGCGAGAGAACGAGGAGGAAAGATAGAGAAAGAGAGGAAGATAGAGAGAGGTGAGGAGAAATATACTCTGCAAACCCGATGGGAAGACGATTCTTTGGGACTGGAAATTGGTCAACATGTCCAACAGGCAGCTTGGGGCAACGGAGTTTGTGAAAAGACGCCCCGACTTGGCAAACTAGGTTGATGAAATCTGCCTCCCCCGCAACCCTACCCACCCGCTGGGCGCCTGCTGTTCACCCGCGTCCACAAGCCCCTGGGCGGGCCAAGATCCACATCCAAAAGCCCGGCCGGCTCCAACACGCCAAACCTCTTCCCCAAATGAAAAAGAATCTCATCTGCAACTCCAAAACTGAAATCAGGAATCCCTTGTGAGGGATCCCATCACGGTGAGCTTTTCTACCCCCAGAGCTTGCCATGTACCGGCTGTACCGGGCAGATCTTTTCCCCTACTCTGAGCCAGCAAAATCAGGCATCGGGTCACCTTTAGCATGGCATGTAAGGTAAGCCGCAAAAAAGAAAGGGTCGAGATTTATTTTAAGATTTGTTTTTGTTCTATTTTGGGATTTGTTGTTTTCCGTCCTGGCTACTAAATTGCTGTAATTTAAAGCATTTTCTCGCGAAATGTACGTACAATACGCGTCCGTCAACATCATCAGCATCGTTTTCAACATCCCCCGCATGTCCAGCCAACATCCCCAGCATCACCAGCAAATTGGCCCCAGCAAATTGGCCCCCATGATGATCGAAAAATTATGGGCAAAGAATCTAAAAAGTAGCAGTCGCATGATGATCGAAGAAGTGATGATTCAATTAGGGGCAAAAAGTCCAAAAATAGCGGGGGGGTTCGGGGGGGGGGTCTGGGGGGGCGGCAGCCCCCCCCATGATGATCGAAAAGTGATGATTCAATCAGGGGCAAAAAGTCTAAAAAATAGGGGGCGGGAGGGGGGTTTGGGGGGGGGCAGCAGACCCCCCCATGATGATCGAACAATTAGGGGCAAAGAATCTAAAAAGTAGCGGTCGCATGATGTTCGAAAAAGAGATGATTCAATTAGAGGCAAAAAGTCCACAAACTAGCGGGGGGGTTGGGGGGGGGGGGGCCTTGATGATTGAAGAAGTGATGATTCAATTAGGGCCAAAAAAATATTAAAAATGCAGCGCGGGGGTCATCAGTTCCTCTGCGGCAAGGCCTCATGGGCAAACTAATCCCTGTAGATCGAAAAAGTGATGATTCAATCAGGGGCAAAAAGTCTAAAAATAGCGGGGGGGTTGGGGGGGGCCGCCCCCCATCGAAAAATTAGGGGCAAAGAATCTAAAAAGTAGCGGTCGCATGATGATCGAAAAAGTGATGATTCAGTTAGTTTCAAAAAGTCCACAAACTAGCGGGGGGGTTGGGGGGGGGGGGGGGCGGCAGACCCCCCTTGATGATTGAAGAAGAGATGATTCAATTAGGGCAAAAAAAAAAAAAAAAGAAGCAGCGGGGGGTCATCAGTTCCTCTGCTCATGGTACAAGTGAGGATTCAATCACGGGCAAACTAATCCCTGTAAAACAACCAAAACGTACCGCGGGCGGCAATTCCGCCCATGATGCTTGAAAAAGTGATGATTCAATGAAAGGCGCGGGGGGGTTGGGGGGGGGGAGGCAGCCGCCCCCCCCCCCATGATGATCGAAAAAGTTATGCTTCAATCAGGGGCAAAAAGCCGGGGGGATGCTGATTGAAAAAAGTGATGATTCAATGGGCCAAAAATATATAAATATATGTATATATATATATATATATATTTAAATAAAAAAGGCAGCGGGGGGGGGGGGGCATCAGTGCCTCTGCGCCAAGGCCTCATGGTAAAAGTGAGGTTCAAATACGGGCAAACTAATCCCTGCAAAACGGCAGCCAAAGAATCTAAAAAGCAGCTGTCGCATGATGATCGAAAAAGTGATGATTCAATTAGGCGTGCATTTTAATCGAAAGGGGGGTGGCGGGGCACAGAGAGGAACTTGCGATGCTGAGGATGCAGGAAGCCAAGGCCAAAAACCAACTGGGAAAGCAGAGGATGCGAAAAGCCAAAGCCAGAAAGCCGCCAAAAGCCAAAGCCAAATCAGCCAGCGGAACTGGCAATGCCTTTTGCAATGATGAAGCCCTAGGAGGGACCAAATCCAGGTACTGCTGCGATGGCATGGGTCCGGCGCTCTCACGTCAACCGTTCCTTCGGGGACCCTACAATCACCCAGTTCTTAACAAGGCTAAAGAAGTTAATCCACCATGGGTTTATTCACCCAGGGTTGTTTCCATGAAAGGGAAACCACCGGGCCTGAACAAGGCTGTCCGGGTTGGTAAGACTTGAACTGCCAGGACGGTGCCTTTTTTGCGAAAAACTCCCACTCTCCGCTTCACTCACTCCCCTTTGCAGCCACAGGCACGCACCCGCCGGCGCCGATGCCGACGCTGGCCTGAGGCAAGCAAGCTGAGGTCGAAGGTGTGGCTTGTTCAGGTGGGTCGGAGGGCGGCCGCCAATTTTGCTCCCGCGCGATGCAAAGAAAGCTGGTGGCATGGGTTTGATCTGTGACACCCTGTCGCCATGTCGGGCGTGTGGGGACAGAGAAAGACCAAAAAAAAACGCCAGACTTGTAGCTACTGTGAATGGCCCCAAGTGAACGCTGTGAGATGGTTGAAATAATCTCAACCATTGCCCCGAACTCAGGGAAAACCACCGGAAGAAACTTCTGGCGCAGGCGCTGATTGCACTCAAACACCTGCTCAGCGAGACTTCCTGGCAAAGCACTCCGTTCTTGCCATGCCCGCCAGAAATCGCCATCCATCATCTTCTGCCAGAAGCGGCTGGGTGGATTGCAAGCCTCGCAGGCGTCACACCCGCCTGAGCCTGGCGGGCAGCCTGCTGCCACAAACGTCTTGCATGCTTCACATTTGCAGGCACATGCTGCCATGGCCATCTCAACCTGTGCCTCTCCAGCAGCGGGCTGCTCCAAAAGATCCTTGGCATGGTTGATCAACACCATCTGCCTAGCATCACCTCCCCTGTCAGGGTGGCATGCCAAGGCAAGACGGCGGTACGCCTTCTTGATGGTCTCCGTGGAAGAGCCCCGGTCAACCCCAAGGACACGATAGGGGTCCACGAGGCCCATGGGGCTGGGGCCTGTGGGGCCTGTGCGGTCCATGATGCCCTGCACCCCCAACGGGTGTGCAGTCTGGACAAACAAGCGTTGGAGCTTAGTGCCAGCGGCAAGCTCAGATTCCAACATCTCAGTCAAAATCAAGGTTGGCCGGCTGCTTTGAACAAAGTCTCCGGCCTGACCCCCCCACCCCACCCCCGCTCCGATTTCGCACGCAGAACACGCCTGGCCGGCGCATCCGGGATCAACCAGGTGGTCCGGGCCCCAGGCCTGGCAAGAAGGTCCTTCCGACATTGGTAGAAGCAACCAACCAACCAACCAACCAACCAACCAACCAACCCACCCACCCACCCACCCACCCACCCACCCACCCACCCACCCGCCCACCCACCCACCCGCCCACCCACCCACCCACCCACCCACCCACCCACCCACCCCCGCCCACACCCGCCCACACCCACCCACACCCGCCCACACCCGCCCACACCCACCCACACCCACCCACACCCACCCGCAAATCACGCACCGACCAACCGACTCATGGCTTGCGGGATTACGAACAACAAGTGGCCCAACCTGCTCCGGTTATCCCCCCACTCGCGAGTGCATACGGGGCGCCTCGTATTGACCCCAACTTTGACCACCTCCTCCGGCGCCTCCTCGGGCTTCTGGGCCTCCCTGAGGCCAGAGGCAAAGAAAGAGGCGCCTCCCAGGCCTACTTACAGCGACGTAACCGCATCAATGAGCCACTGTTGAGGGGTCCATTCTTTGTCGGCGCCGTTAAAAAAACTAAGAGTTTGGCATCGCACTATCCAAGAAATCTGCGACCACTTTCGGGGTGCAAATGATTAGGCCCGGTCTTCACAAAGCTTGCCCTGTCACTGGGCCCCGCCGGATCGCCGTCAGGGTGGGCATGTCTTTCAACACCTCGAAGAAAGGCAGCTGCCGATTTCGCAAGGGATCCGTTGGTGTGCTTTCGGAACTGCAGCCTGCAAACGGGGAACATCTGTTGCAATATGTTTGTTCATGTTTTTTGCTTGATGCTTTCCCCAGAAATTTGCAGGGCTCACTGTTCAAGCCATGCTAGAGGACATTCAGAGGTCGGTCTTGGACAATACTGTGACTCAGGTGCTCAGTCAAAATGCAATATCTCGGCTCTGGGGTGCACTGCGGAGCGCACCCTTTTCTTGAGCCAAAACCACACGGAGTGCAATCAGCGCATTGGGCAATTATGACTATACATATCATGACTCCTCCTTGCTGGAAGAGCGTCTCTGTACACGCTCGCACAGCAATTCAGGTAGCGGAGTCTGGCCAGGGACCTTAGCCTTCTAGTAGCTTAAGCTGTCCCTTGCTACGCTGGTTAAGGAAAACATAACCACACCTTCGCATGGTCTCAGACATCTGTACACCTGGAATGCTCTTTGTTAGAGCATCCGCCCTGTTGGACTTGCCAGGGGTATGCTCCACCCTCAGATGGTCCATGCTGACCCTTTCCTGCAACCACAGGAACCTCGTCTGGATGTGACGGGCCTTTCCCAGACCTGCCCGATTGACAGTTCCTTTTGCTGCAGTCGCATCTGATTGAATCAGCACCTGGGTCTCGACCGCAAAGTCCTCCAAGAGTGACTGTAGGCCTAGACCAACTGAACCTCCTTTGACAAGAGCATAATACTCCGACTCCCCAGTCGACAAAGCGATGGTCGACTGCACATTGCTGCTGTGCTTGAGCACATGCAACCCATACAGAGCAACCATGCCTGTTGTGGATCTCCTCGTTATTGCGTCTCCGGCATGATCGGAATCCACCTGGATTCGGAGCTTGCTCGGCTTGGCTTGCCGTGCAAAGACCTGACACACGTCCGGCTTCTTGATGAGGTAGCGACACAGTCGCTTCAAATCCTGCAAAGATGCCTCTGTAGGAGAAACCATCTTCCTCGCAAGATTCTTCACAGCGTGGCTGATGTCCAACCTGTCCTGTGACAGGTACGCTGCCCTCATCACGCATGAGCGATACAGGGAAGCCTGCTCTTTCGGTAGAGCTGGGCTCCGGGCTTCCTGCATCTGCAAATCCACGGACTTCTTCACGTCCGGTGTCTCCGCTCCCTTGGCATTCTCCATGCCAAGCTGCTGCACAAGCAAATCAACATGGCGTCGATCTGGCTCGATCAGGATCGCACTCGCTCCTTGATGTTGTTCACAACGAATGAGCCGGTTGAGAAAGTGGACCTCCTTGTGGTCTCCTTCCTCATCACCTATCGTCCCGAGCCATTTCAACTCGTAGGCACTGCGAAGCAAAGTATCTACTTCCTTCAGCGCCTCGGCGTCTCCTAACGCCATGAAATCATCTCCGTGCACCAGCACTCTTACTCCCAGTGTCGGGTGATAGAACACTGAGCCATTTGACTTTCCCCGGAGATATCCGGCTTTGATCAACAGCTGCGTGTAGTGCTGCTGCCATATGTTCGGGGCATCCTGTGTCCCGTACATCGACTTAGTCAAACGACCCACCATTCCCGGACTGGCGTCCTCGTCCGGCAACTGGATGTATATGCGGCGTTTGGGTACGCCATAAAAGTGGGCTCTTGATATATCCCAAAGTCCGATCTTGAGTGGTCGTCCTCCATGGGATACACGCTCAGTGGCCCATAGGCTACATAGCAGCCTCATAGCCTCTAAAGGCGGTGTTGACGAAAACAGCATGTTCTGAGGAATCCTTTCCTCTGGACTCTTCCGGGCCTTGATCTCCCGGACCACCAATCTCGACCTGAAGTTGGGATTGGCGGGGTCTCCCTTGTTGGTGTCTATCCAACGGGTGGTGATTGGACCCTTCCCGTTGGTCTCTCTGAGGCATTCCTCGAGCGGCACCTTCTCGTAAACCTCTTGCTTCCTAAGATAGTCCAACTCGAGCTGACGTGCCTCCCTGACTCGGTCTGGTGGCAAAAACCCACCATTCACGTCGTCCCAGTACTGCTCCACGTCTTCCGGCGTCACGAAGCTCTCCTCTGGGATTGGACCTGCAACTGCTGCGTCCAATGCACTCAACTGGCCACTCTCTACAAGGTGGCTCTTCAAAGTCTTCAGGACCGCTCGCACTAGCGCTGGCGGATAACGGGCCGCCGGTCTAGCGAGTCCTCCGATCAGGTGGATGTGCCGGTGCCATGGTTTCCCCGGCACATTGTTGGTGCATTCGCCCTCCAACAGTTGGGCCAAACCTGGATGGTTGGTCATCCAGCCAGTTTCTTTCCGCACATATCCTGTGCCCTGCAAACCCCTCCGGTCCGTAGCGACCATAGCCCATCTGCACATTGGGCCTCGGACAGTGTACACGTCCGGTCTCTCAGTGAGCTCACGGACCTCCGGGTCTTTCCAAGAGGTAGCACTCCACGGTGCCTCATGCAAGAAGAACCTACCTGCCTGCAACTGCTTCCTGTAGAACCTACAGGCGGTATGCAAATGAGCAACTGCTCTATCCATCTTCTCGCGCCTCTTGTCTGGGCTCACCCTGTACTTGTTGATGTTCTGGAGCTGGGAGAATTGGTCACAAGGTGGGCTCCCTGTGAGCAATGTCGGCTCGACCTCGTCCACATACTCCTCGAGCTCTCGGACGTCCTCAGTCTTGCTGAGATCCCAGTAGGAACCGTCCGGCTTCTGCTCCTCAAGGTCTACCGCAAAGCCCGGCCTCAAGCCATACTGCCCGGCTTGGGCCGTGAACCGCTTCGGGCTGTAGATCTCCATGATATCAACAGCGCCCATCTCCACGCACAGCTTGGTGATCTGCTCCAGCTCGACCGCGTTGATCTCCACCTCCTGAGCCAAAAACGCTCTCTCTACTTTCCGTCCAACCATGGACTTCAACATCCTCTTCAATCGACCCAGTTCAAGTCCACCCACGTCTGGGGGCTTGTCCGGGGTGTTTGAAGTCTCGGCGTCAGCCGCCGGTTGAGTCTCCGTTCGGAGTTCTTCAGGAGATACTGCGGGCTCTCGCTTCTCACCTTGCTTCTGCTGCGTCTTCTGCTTGGCTCCGGGCGCTATATACAGCGCTCCCGGTCTCTTGATCTGCGTGGTCGGCTTCGCCTTGCTCTTTGGGCTACTCGATGCTGGCTGGTCTGCTGCTGCTCTCTTGAGTTCAGCCCTCTTCGCGGGATCCTCCACATACTCCATCACTTGTCCAGGGTCTTGCCTAGATCCTACTCCGGCCTCAGCGGCCGGCTCTCCCATGGCCTCTTGGGCTGGGAGATCTGCTTCCACTCCTACTTCCGCGGTCTCCTCTCTTTTCCTTTTGTGAGCTTCGACACGGCGTCGTCCTTGCTCATCATCCATCATGAGACCGACGATTCTCGCTCGGCACATCTCAGTGTGCGGCAACTGAGTGGATTCCCCTAGTAGCACGCAAGTGCATCCAGGACATCCATCAGTAGGTTGGTACTTCTCCACATCTGCCTTACGGATGTAAATCCGTCGCTGCTGTGGCGGTGCCATAACAGGCACAACCTGAGGCGGAACCTCAACCCGGTCTTCACTGACCAGCAGGTCCTCCACTCCTTGAGCAGGAGTTCCCGGGGCCCTCTGCCCCGGCGTTCCCGGCGCTCGCACTGAGACCTCCCACGGGTAGCCTTTAAGGCTTTCCCATCCTTGTGGATTCCATTGATCTTCTTCTGGAAGTCGACGAACACCAGTGCCTCTCTTCACTCCTTCTGAGGTCACAACCAGCAAAGTGCCAGTCCTTCCGTGGTGACCTATGTACCTGCCTTCCTTGAGTGGCCTAGCTCCTTCTCCTACCTCACGGTAATACAACCGCTCTCCTATGGCGATTGCCGGCTTTCTCCATTCTCGGCCACACCTCCTTTGTTCCGGTGTCTTCCCGTCGGAACCTCTCTTGTACCTGCACATCAGGTCTGCTGCATGCCTTGGAAACCAAGACAGCACAGGGTCGTCATCCTTCAAGACTCGACCCAACTTCTCCTCCAGTGAGGATCGCAGGACTCTCACCTGCCTTTTGAGTTCTCGGCACAAGTTCTCGATTGCGCCATTCGCCCGGTGGTCAGCCACCGGCGACTCCTGTGGAACATTCTCCACTCCTGCTTCCTTGGCCGCCTGCTCCTTCAGGGCAACGATCGAATGCTCACCATCACTCTTGAAGACTGCACGACGGTAACCAAGATGCTTTATAAAGTTCGCCATGAATTTGACCGCATATGGCGTCGGTCCTTTTGCGTCCACGAAGGTGGCCGCAACGGCCAGTGTCCGACTGTCTCGGATCACCAGGATAGGCTTAGTCTTCCCATCCTCCTTTCCATCTCGCGTCATCCATGTGTAGTCGCACGAGATTGTCGCGAGCTCATCGCTCGCCTTGTCCTCTTCGGGTCGTGAGCGATGCTGCTGACCCAATCCTCTGCCGGCAAGACAATGCCGACACCAGTTGCGATACTGCACGTGACCTGTTGCCTCATGCTCCGCAACCTCGGCCCTCGATGGGCCTCCTGGTGCTCTCACCAGTGCGGGCGGCGCGATCTCGCCGCTCTCATCCATCTCATCACCCTCGGGCACACCTGCGGGTCGGCCCGCTGGTGCCTCTGGGTTCCCTTGTCCGGCACCCACGGCATCATCTGCCGCTGCAAGTGGTTTGGCCGGACTTACGCCTCGCTGGACTGCCGTCCAAAACCCGAACAATCTTCCGACTTCAAATAGAAGTTGTAAACTCCTTTCTCTTGGTATATGGGCAACCAAGTCTTCTTTTGGGCTTTACTGGGCTTGTTGAGCAACTGCTGTCGCTGAGTCTGCTGGAATCAACTGTCCACCATTTTGATCAAGAACAGCCATCCTTCCATGGTTGAGGCATTTGTAAGCTGAAACCAACGGTTTGTGTACCGGTGCTAATGGCCCTGTGACTTTACACCTGGAACCTGTTTCACTCTTACCTTGAAACGTCCCGGTTCCGGTCCCAGGGACCAGTTCCCCCGATGCTGTCTTGAACATCATCTGGGCTCCTTCCTTAGTGGGGATGCGGTCTTTCCAATCCACTGGAATAGCAGTTTGAGCAGCCCCCGTATCAAGGTTGAACCGAACCCAGTTGGGTCTTTCGGGGGCTCTCCCTGGGTGAATGCACCCAGCTCAAACATTCCCACTTCGGCCTCCGGTTGTTCTTCTTGGTCTCCAGCTTCGTAGTCGGCGTCCTCGAATCCTGCCACATGCTTCTGCTTGGAGCCAGACTTCCCTGAGCCTTTGGAACCTTTTCCATCCTTCTTCTTGCTCCAACACTCGGCCGCTCTATGGCCGGGCTTACCACAGTTGAAGCATGCTCCTGCGGGTCCTGAGCTGCCTGAACCACTGCCTTTACCTTTTCCTTTGCTGTCCTTACCTTTTCCTTTGCCTTTGCCTCCACCTTTGTCCTTTCCCTTACCTTTGCCTCCTTTCGAACCTTTCGAGCCTTTGACCAGCGAGTTGAGCACCTTCGTGATGGCGTCCACGTCCATCGGAGCGGGGCCTTGCCCCGATCTCGAAGCCCCACTGGACCCCGGTCGATGGATCGTCCCCTTGGCTCCCGTGACTGTTTCAATCAGAACCTCAATCTCCTGTTTCATTTCCTCGTAGGTTCCCAGCCGGTTCTTGTTCAGAATGAGGTGGCGCTCAATGTCGGTTGGAACCAGAAGTTCTAGGGACGTACACTTTATGTCCTGAGAGAGGATTTCCCTCTCGCCCCTTTCGTTCCTTCTGGCCTCATATCGGCGCATCAAATCATCTAGTTGTTCCATGGCCGGTCGAACTGCTTCCCAAGACTTAACTCTTTCGGGGTTGAGGATGGCCCTTAGGATGTTCCTCTTCCTACCTGCGGTGAGGGGGTCCCATCTCCTGTTAAGCCTTCGCCATGCCTCATACCCGTTCTTGGCATTGATGACCAGATCTTCGGACTCATGAGTAGTAAGGGATGACAACAACCTATACAGCTGGTCTCCCTTATCATCCAGTCCGGCCATTCCCAGTTCACCTCCATGTTCCTCTTCTACCTTTTCAACAGTGATCTCCTCATCCTGATCAACTACCCATTCAAGGATTGACTGGAAACTGGATCCAAAGATTGCCGTTGTGAGGTTCACCACAGACCGGGCCCATCTACGGAAGTGGCCATCATCATTGGAGAAGACTTCCGGTTTTCCAATCCCTTTGGTGTCTATCAACAACTTCCTATCGCCTTTCTGCAGGCTTGTAGCTAACCTACCAAGGTTCTCTGCCAAAGCAGCTATACCTGCCTGGCCTTGCCTAAGAAGTTGATTCTCCTGTGACAACCGCTCAACTGCCTGCTGCAACTCTCGCACTGTTTCCTCCATGCCTTATATCCGGTGCCAAGCACCGGGAGGTCAGTCCGCCTTCCCGGACTCTTCTGTACTATAGTACGACCCCGAGCTCGATCCGCTTTTCGGCTCCGGCGCCGGTTGATCGTGAAGGTGCACACTGCCCTCGGTCTCGCTCAGGGGTGTAGTCGGCGACGGAATCGGTGGCGGAGGTGGCGGCCGCTTCGGCCGAGCCAGCGAAACCTTCGGCTCGCTCTTGGGCTTCTCGATGTGGGCCTTCTCCTTGAGCACCCACTTCGGTCTTGGCGATGGAGGTGGTACCTTCGCCTCTATAGCCGCTTTTGCAGGAGGTGGCTTCACCTGAGGCTTCGCGATGGCTTCCGGTGCTGACTTTGAGGTCGTTCCAACCGGTGCGCGCCTCCTTGCCGCCCCTTTTGCAATTGCTGCGGCCCTGGCCAACAACGATGGCCTCTGAAGGCGAGTCCTCTCGTCGCACGAGGAACACGGGTTCCCCAACCCGTCCAGTTGCAGCACACTCTGCTGGATGGCTCTGGCCACCGAGCCCTTTGCTCCGGCTCGGTGTGCAGCTTCTGCCAATGCCGCCTTCCTGAGGCGGTAGTTCGAGGCCAGGTTCTGCTCGCTCGTCCCTTCACCGCGGGACGTCCTTGCCACCGCAAGCTCTTGGATGTTCCTGTGCACCGTAACCCGTCGGCCGAGAGCTTTGGCTGCCTCGGCGACCGGTGTCAGCAGCTCGGGCTCAGCGCCCGGTGAAGGCTCCTTTCCTTGGGCCTTTGTGAATCCCTTCGGCGGTGTCTTCGGAGCAGGGCTGGACTTAGGCGGGGACTTCGGTGGTGTCTTGGGCTGCACCCGGCGCCTCTTCCAGGGCGCCTGCCCGAAGTTCTCGATCTCCTCCTGGAGCTCCGCGGATGGCTCTTCCTGCTTCTTCTGCGCGAGCTTCAGGAGGCCTTTGAGGATCCTAAAGTGCCGACTGTTTTGGCTTCTCCTCTTGTCTTTGCCAGTCGCACTCTGCCACCACCGAGATCCTGACGACCTAGGCGTGTGAGCGACCTTGGGCTCGGGCTGGATCCTGCCCTCGCTGCCCCAATCGCCCCACACGCTCTCGTCCTCGCTCTGGCCCTTCTGCTCCAGGTCGAAGTCCGTGGCCTCGGGCTCAAACTGCTTCTTCTGCGGCGGGTGGAGGTCCTCCTTCTTGTCCTCGTTGGTGTATTGTTCCAGCTCCTCCTCCTTCTCCTCTGCCCGGCTTCCTCGAGCCGGTTCTGGGCCCCTGTGGCCACTTGGCAGAGCCTCTGGCTCTGAGGAGGGAGGAGATGCAGCCTGGGATCCTCCCCAGTCTGCTTCTGACTCAGCGGCAGGCTCAGCGGACAGGGTGTCTTCTTCTCCTTCACTCGGAGGGGCAACTAGCTCCGGCCTCTCCTTCGGCAGCTCTTCCGCTGCCCCGGTCTCCTCGACCGGCTCTGCGGCTTTGCCTTTGCCGCGAGCGGGCCGCCTCCACGGCGGCTCCTCCTTGTTGCTCTTGCCCCTGCCCTTCTTGCCCTTGCTCTTGCCCTTCTTGCCCTTGTTCTTGCCCTTGGGCCCCTCGTACGGCTTTCCAAACCAAATGGACCGTCGAGGCTCACTCGCTACCATCAAAATGCAATATCTCGGCTCTGGGGTGCACTGCGGAGCGCACCCTTTTCTTGAGCCAAAACCACACGGAGTGCAATCAGCGCATTGGGCAATTATGACTATACATATCATGACTCAGAGGTCCCTCTGAAAAATGAATACCACTGTAACTTTTATCAAACCTCTCACGCTGACATTCCACCACTTGATCCAGCCTCTCAAATCTAGACAATAATGTTTCTCCTCACACGGATGTCTTCCTTGTTTTTTGTCTACTCGTGGCGCAGTCCAGGCAGTTCAGCTTTCTCTTGTTTGGTGGTTTGTGAAGCTTAGAGCATATTCTTCATTGGATTAATCCAAGAAAAGCACCCTCTGGGGCGTCAAGCGTTGCAACCCCCAAAAAGAGAAACAAAGGGCACTTTGAAAGGGCGATCCCTCAATCGTGGCTACAACACCTTCTTCAGAAGCAAAGCCCAACGGGTTTGCATGTCCTTGTTGGGTGCGTCCTTTTGCGGAGGTTTACCCCTTGGGGTAGGACTCGCCAAAGAAACCCAATGGAAAAAACCTCATTCAGATGCATCCAGAGGAGCAGCATCCGAAAGGAACCCATTCGGGTGAATTGGTCCCCTTTTTCGGTGGCCCTTTGAAAGGAAAACAACGCTTGCCTTTGACACATACCGATGCCAAGGGCTCCAGAAGGACCCAACAAAAAGGCGCTCCCAGCCGAGAGACCTGGGCGCCGGGCCGCCGGCTTCGGCCGGGGCGTCTCTGGCGCCCTGGCCTTCTCCGGCCGTGCCAGGACCTTAAACAAATTGAGAAACACTGAATGTGGAATAGATATAAATAATATATGCATGGAATGGAAAGGGATTGGAATGGAATCATTGCAATGCACTCCACTGGATTGGACGAGACTGGAACAGTAGAAGACAGGCATGTGACTATTATGTTTCCTGGGTGTCCCCATATAGAACCTCGGTTCCCCCGACCCACAAAAATGCATATCCCATACAAAGCATATTTAAACATCACTTCTTGGAGCAAGTGTTGCTGATGTGCCTCTTGTGATAATGCTTAAAAATAGGGGCCCTGAAAAACGGGGTGATCCAAAGTAGATTTCGTCTGGGGAAAAGGCAGCCCTCCCGCACCTGGCTGCAAGACAAAAGCTGGGGTTCCCGGCGGCCACACTGCCCGATACAATCAGGTAGACACCTCGTTCCGGAACTTTGATTGGGATATCATTAGAGGCATAGGGGATCTACGCCCAAAGGGCGGCCCCCCCCCAGTTTTCACAACCAAGGTGAATTCTGCTTGCTAGGTCCGTGGGATTACGATTTGGGTACTGCTGGACCTAATCTTTCAGGTGGGCAGAGGCAGAGATTGGCTATTGAGGGGTCGCTTCTTTGGTTGCCGGGGCGGCCTCCAATCAAGGAAGCCTTGTGCAGGATCGTGCATACTCATCCAAACCATCCCACACTGTACCTTAAAATAACTCTAGTTGAAAAAACGCACAAATGCATGTCATATGTTTGTCTGAAGCCCGGGCTTGCCGCCTGGTCCCCCTGACCTCAGAAAGGCGGTGCCGGTGTGCCGCAACGCGGCGGTCCATGCCGCAAGGCAGCAGTCCATGCTGTAAAGTGTGGATTGGGCCTGTCTCCACTTTAAATTATTTTTCCAAAACTGTAGAGGGTGTCCCGTCAGTTTCCCTTAGTGCCAGTGTGCTGGTGCGCCCTCGCTTCAGGCTGCCAGCGCCTTTGGTCATTATGTACGTCATCATTTTGCTCTCGAATCAAAACGGGTCGGACAAAGGACTGTTGTTGTGTATGACCTGGTTCCCAGGAAGGCCAATAGCAGGCTGGCAAGTGATCTGTGCTCCCACCCCTATGGTTCAGAGGTTTCATGTTCAAATCCCAAACCGCAGGCCATGCCCCACACTGGTGATTTGCGGCTGGCGTTTGAGCAGGGTTCTAACATCACCCCGCCTAGAATAAACTTGTTCAAACCGTGCTTATAGGTGGTTTAAGGCAAACTGGCAAACCACCCGGACCCTAAGTAATCTTCAAAACCGCTTTGAATGTTCACTCGGAGACTCGGAGGAACCCACTTTTTTCGCTCGGCTCATTCGGGTTCCGGCGGAAGACCACCTGCCCGGCGTTCTCCCCCCGCACCTTGGAGACCTAGCCGAAAACAAGCGCAAAATCGACATTTCTCCGCCCAACCAATGGATTCCATGCGCCGAAATTCTAGGGAAAACCACTCGGAACAAACGGAAAGACGGGTTGCACGACTGCCTCAGGGAACCCAAGACTGTTTAGACAACCAGCTGACCCCACCCTGGCAGGGGAAGCAACCAAAAACCAAACCACCAGACCTAGGCGTTCTAGAAGAAAGCTCTGGTTCTGAAATGGGATGTCTCGAAATGAGGGGGGGAGCACAAAATGTCCTCTGTGCCTCTTTTGAACCAGCCTCAAAGAAGGTGGCCCCGAACAAAGACACACCCATCAAGAAGCATAAGCGAACAATTGCCCAACAAAGATGGGCAAAAAGAAAACGACAAGGCTTTGATGGGCACTCAAAAGCACAAAACTGCCGGGCCAAAGGGAAAAGGCGAGGCTAAGCAAACAGGGAGGCGTGGGTCGGTTGCCCTTTCTACAATACACTTCCAGGCTCTCTATCTCTCTCTCTCTCTCTGAACGATTGTGTGAAAGAATTGAAATGTTGCTTTTAATGACACATTAGGACGGGCTTCCTTTGACGGACTCCCAGGCCCAGCTTGGCTTCCTTTGGCTATGCCCCTTACACACCAGTTCCAAGAAAGCATTGTGCTTCCTAGTGCGACAGATCTGCATCCCCTCACCTTGGCGAGCTTGTGGATAATGCCCTTCTTCTGGCGCTCCATATCCTTGAAGAAGGTTGACTTACCTCACATCTTGCCGGTTGGGCATGCGTCAAAATAGGGGGGGGCAAAAAATGTTCCTTTGGGATTCCGCTCAAACCACCCCTAAGAAGGACATCCTCTTCTACACACTCGCAAATCTCGCGAGTTGGAGCCATGTGGCAAAGCAACCGCAAATTTGGTCAGCCGGCTCGAATATGTTTTCTGCCCCTCACAGCAGGAAACCCTCGGAGCAGTTGACAGATTTGTGGCCCAACTGCAGCCTAAAGGTTGTCTTTTTCTATGTGTTCCTGTTGGTATTTTTTCAAAACCAGCCAAAAAAATGTTTCTGCCCTCAAAAACAGAAACGCTATGGTGACCAGTCAGGCGCATCATCATTTAGATGGCCGTGACTTGCCCAAGCTTCCCTTTGGGAGCGGGAGGAAAGCGCACACGCACACTTAGACTATCATGCCCCTGTAGTTTTTCTGACCACACCCACATCCCAAGAATGTAGGGTTGAGTATCTTGCTCGGATTCTGTTCATTATTCTCATTTCCAATGAACAAGATGGATCTCTCCAGAGCCCCCAATGTTGAAAAGCGCGGGGTCTTCCACCTGCTCCATTCCAAGACGGCCCTCCCTCCTTGTAGGGCCACACATCCTCTTTTCGACCACCCTTCATGTCGCTGCAAACTCCTGATTGTCCCTTAAGGGGCATGCAAGAAAGCCCCAATCAAACTTCAACGCAAACCGTCCGAGGCGAGCGCGGAGCTTCTCCTCGAGCTCCTTCGCGCCTGGGTGAGCTGACGGAGACAAGCCACAAGGGGAAATGGCCGCTCAACTAAAGCCTGCTGGGTGGAAAATGGCCATGAGTGCTGGAAAATGTGTCCTTCCCGTTTTTGTTAGGAATGAGCTTCATCATCATCTTCAAGAAACAGGAATTTAGACGACGGAGTCGGGAAACCGCCCCCTTCCTGTCAAAGCAACATTTGAAGCCATACAGTGGGACAATCATCCAACAAGAAGCCCACCTTACTTGGTTTCAAACCGTCCCAACAGGGTGAGTCCAGCGATTTGGGCGTCCGCGCGGGAGGCGGACTTGGAGTCCGCGCCCAGGACCTCGCCTTCGTCGCCTCGAATCGGGGCTCGGCTATAACTCCCAGGGTCAGGCCTTAGCCAAAGTCTCCCAAACCGGAGGAAAGCCGCCGGTGCCGCCAATTGTACGTTAAATTGCGTCCTTTGAACCATGACTGGCCCCCGAGAGAGCCACCCCCGCGGCGAAAGGCCCCAGCGGTCGCCGGCTCGACGGATGCTCTTGGCCTCCGAGGCCCGGCTTGGGGTGGGCCGCTCTTACCAAAGAACACGTTCATGCTTGTAATGCAAGCACTTTGCAATCTTACGATATTATCAAAAAAAACTAAAGTCGAGATCTCTGGGAAAGCACCTTTATCATGGTGAGCTTGTTTTACCCCCAGGCGTGGCAGGTGTGCGGCATGTACAGGCTGACAATGACGCAAGCCGTGTTGCGCGGCGCATGCGACGGCATCCAGAATCCAAACAAAAGCGCGGGCGACATCCCCAACAGCATACGGTGCTCTGTTTTCGACCTCGCGCAACCCTGCTGAACCTTACCGCAGAGCTGCCCTGACCACGCAGAACTTTTACACTGGCCTGCACCAGACCAACTCGGAACCTGTGCCGTATCATTCTCCGCATTATTCCCCAGCAGCTGAAAAGCTAAGGGGGCAGCCCAGATAAGGTTTGGGTCTAGGCCAGGTGAAAGGTTCCGGAGGGTGCGGGGTGGTCTGGTGCAGATTGGGTGTAAGGTTCGAGCAATTGTTCTGGAGGTTCCGGGAAGGTTCCGCAGGTTCCGGGGCTTCGCAGAACAGGCAAGTAAAAAAATACCCCCTACTTGCCAGAGAAACCACCGCACGTCGGCAGGATGCGCACATATCTGACTCCACAATTAGCTTTCATCGCTCAAACCCTTAAAATAGGTTCGACTCACTTGGGTTTCCTCAAACGGTGAGCCCCTGAATCCGGATCCCTGAGAGAAGGAAAACCCTCCAGCTGTAAAACCAAGCTCGTGCTCAGCCAAGTGAAACAATTGGTTTGAAACCTATAGCTTGTGGAATGCATCGGCGCCCGGGGACCCATCTATGTTCAACTAAGCTGACCTAACAGGTCCAGGGCTGCACTCTTGCAACTACCCGAAAGAGTTTAACCCAGGATTGGTTGATTTCACCAAAGGGACACGCGAAAGCCCGTCTTCAGGCCTGACGGGCGTTGTACGCAAAGTCCATGCCACGCACGACCCGGCAAAAGGACTGCCTCGTTCGGGTGGTGCAATCACTTTGCTGGGTGGGGCACCCCTTGCGCTGATAATAGCCTGGCAGTGACAACCCGATGAACCCCGTACCCGCAGACCTTGTTTTCACTAGATTCTGTTAGCTACGACATTCTGATACACCCACACTCTCGCTCTCTCTCTCTCTCTCTCTATCTCTGTGTACGTGCGCCGATGGCCCTGTACTGTACTTCAGACCAGTTGTACCCGTCGTCAGTAGCGGGACACCACAACAAAAGGACAAGGAACTGATTTTGGACAATTCAGCATCCAAACCACTCCCTCAGCCCCCAGCTGCGTCCAGCCCCTCCGCAAAAACTCCCGACCTGGCTCCGCACGCGCGCGCGGTGAGGCCATGCCCCTAATTGCCTCCTTCAAGTCTCAAGCTAGGAACCACGTCCAAACGGAAAGTTGCCTTCATAAGAAAAAGTACATGCTACACATTTGTTGATGGGGCATCTTAGCTGCTCTTGAGGTGTTTTGTGGTTTGCTAAACAAGGGTGCCCAAACACTAGGACCCGCCTTTGGGAGGGCGCACTAGAACACCAAATAGGATGAAGGGGTATGGCTTGGAATTTGGAACCGCCAAGAATCCCCAAGCTCCCCGCTAAAGCCCAAGCCCCCCAAGCCCCCTGCTGTGTGTCAGGTTCCGCTCCTTGTTCTGAAGAGCTGTCGTCTCCTGCCCGCTGTCCCATGAGACCGGGACTCAGGGCCCTCCTCCCAGTACAGCTAGGTTTTGCGTACATTTGGGCGGGCGTGCTGAGGAAGCCCTCAGGCCCTTCGAAGCCCAAATAACTTCCCTGATCGGCATGGTGGAAATACGGGGATACTGAGCATGCACCAGCTGTTGCCTTGTTGTTCCCTTTCTGTTGACTGCCTGAGGCTTTGCAGCTGACGGGCCTTGGGACGTGCGCAAAGCCGAATGCAACCCTTGCATTTGGCTCGTGCAGCGGTCAATGGATTTCACCTTCGAGAGTTTCAATTTTCTGGCTTCCACTGAAACTATCACTTCTGGAGGTTCCAAAAAAGGAGAAGAAAAAAAGAAACCCCTGTTGTGTCTTGTTAGAAACCACACGCGGCCGCTCGTCCATGTTACCTCCAACTTCCGGAAGCTTTCACAAACAAAAAGACCACCTGTTTTGAAGCTCTCGTGTTTGGCTACGCGTCCAATCGGTTGGACAATGTCTTATTTGACTCAATTGGATGTTGGTGCGCGTGCCAACTATTCATCAACGCCGGACAGGCAAACCTGCCAAATTGACTAGCTTCCCTACAGAACAAATCAAGCCACGTTTGAAGAAGCTCCTGTTTTTAGCGGTGGAGACAACATGTGGGGTGTCATTTTGAGTACCGGCTTTTTTGGCCAGAAAGTTTCTTGGGGAGCTGGGGAAGAACAAAGAAGCGCATTCTTCTCCGATCTCAGTCGGGTCCTCGTGGGAGAGGTAGCGCATGCCCGAGGCGCCCTTGAGGCTTTGCCCCCAACAGGCCCCAAAAGCCGGGCACGTCGAACACAACGTCACCAACCAGCTGGGCTACAAGGAACAAGGATTGCGCCTACTTGTTTATTGCAGCCACACATGAGGAGAAACGAAAGCGAGAAACCCTTGCTGCAATCCCAGAAAGACAGTTGCTTGTCAGTCCCTGGTCCATGGCTCATCTTGTTTCGACGCCCCCCGCTCTTGTGCCAGGCCTGCTTCATGGTCAGCCTGAGCCAAGGCAAACAAGCCAGAAAACATTGGTGAAGAAGGTAAAGTACCACTCAAAGGTTGCTTTTCTCCAAAAAACAACATACCCGTTGAGCACACCCCACACCAAGTATACAAACAACAAAGAGTGAAGGGAGGTTGGGCTGGAGTGTTCTCAAATGGGGTTGGCGCGGTCTTGCATATTCGACTGCTCAGATTTGAGCAGACCCACACCGGCATGTGCAGATTTGTGTGGGTGGGGGAGTCCATACATGTTGCATCCATGCATGCGTGCGTGCATACCTTGATGAAGACTAGCTCGCTCTAATCCGAATGGAGACACGTCACCGGCACGGAAGCTTCTCTCGGGGCCACACAGCGGAAAGGTGAATCCCAGAAGGCAACGCGTGGAAAGTGTGTGGGAGAGACATGATATGACCAAAAAAAGCACTCCGACAAAGTATGGAAGTGCACAAGCAAGATGAAAGGCCACTGTGCTTTTGGAAGGACTCTGTGCACCAACCCATGTTCGTTTTTTCGGCAACGTTTACGGATCACGATCGAATGTGGTTTTAGCTCCACTTTCCGGATTCCCAAGGGAGCACCCTTCAACAAAAAAAGTAGCCGTTAGGACGGGGGAAGCATGGATAGGTTTCTTTCCCACACCAGCTGGTTGAAACCCCCGTTTGCTCATTTGCGATACGTGACCCAAAACCAGCCATTAAACATCCCGCCAGAAAGCTGCCGAGGCCCCGAAACCGGGGCCAGGGCGGTTCGGGGCGCTTGAGCTCCGACAGGCGCCTCTTCTCGGCCTCGGGGTGGGCTGACAAGGGAAACCAAACAGACGATTCAGAAGAGGGTGAAGAGGGTCAGGGCTTTTGGTTGCGGGTTGGGAAGGAAGCCTCAAGGAAACCAACCACTTGCGGAAGTCTAACTACTTTTTCTAGACACGTCCAGAGCGTTTTCGTGAGGCCAGACGAAGCTGTGAGTACTTTATGTCATCAATATTGGAGAATCAACAGGAAACAACCCATATTGAGGACAAACGCTGTTCGCCAAAAAGAGGGTCCCTATTCCTCTAGGCATTGATTTTGTGCTTCCAAGGCAATCCAAGGGTAGCACAAAGAGCCAGGCGCTCTCCGCGCCTCGGACTGGAAGGGGTCCCCAAACTGCTCTGCTTGCTGCCGCCGTATCGCCGCCTCAGTGAAGGCCTGCGCCGCGAACCTCGGTAAAGCACATGGCAACCGCGGGAACCCAGGGGCCCAGGATGAACCAACAGTTCACTGCCAGGCGTGCTTGGGTAACTCGGGATAAGCATCGTGTGTGACAGGAAGCATCAGTCGACGGATATTGATCTTTTTCGGGAGACAGGAAACAGTTTCAAATCCTTCCGTAGAATTTCCGGCCTCATGCCGTCCGCCAAATCTGTCTGCTACACAATACAGGACAGAATTCAAGTCTCCACCAATTGCTAAACTCGTTTTGGTTTTTAAATGAGCCAGCCCAATGTCGAGCCATGCTGGGAGGAAACCAAGAAAAGAAGAACGCAGTGGTGAAAGCAGGTTTTGCTCCGCTACCCCCGACTCGGCCAACCGCTCTATTCCCTCTCTGTCCAGCGGCGGAAGCCATTTCTCGCCCATGGCAGTGAGGGCGTCGGCGGCGGCGGGTTCTGGCGTAGCTGGCACAAGGCATGGAATGCATTCAGTGGTGGCCCGGATGATACCTACACTCCTGGCACCCCAACTAGCGAGTATGATTGGCCCGTTTGTTTCCCCAGTAGGACCGAGCGAGGTGGCCCGAACAGGCGCAAGGAAGGAAGTTGCGTTTTGAGGCAAGGGAAATCCGGATCTATGTTGCAAAAACACACCTTATGATTCTGAGTTGAATCCAGGATCATTCGGGCATGCCCCGACCATTAAGGGGCTGCGACCCGGAAAAGCCGAACCCTGACATCCAAAGCGTCGGCCGGGTGATCAAACCCCAAAAATCTTTGGAGGGCCTTTCTGATCGTGTTCAAAGCGAAGAGGCAAACCTAAATCCATAATCCGCCGATGCCAGTCGAGGCTGCATTTTGTCCAGTGTTTCGGATGCGCAGATCCCCGCATCATCAGGAATATCTTGCTGCCATGAATTTGTCTCTTTTTTTGCAGATACAAATGGTGTGTTGCTGTTCCAAGCGATGTTGGAATTGGCCTGTTAGGGGCCAAGTGCAGTGATACGTTGAGGAACTGATTGAAATTGCATAAATGAGCGTTTTTTGCAATTCCCCACCTGCACAAAGCAGTTACTGCGAAACATCCCCGGCATTATCGTGCTTTTGGAAGCCTTCTTTTTTGGGGGGGGGGGGGGGGGTATTTGAGGGGGGTTGCTAGTATCTGCTTTTCAGCCAGCTGCATTCCCAGCATTCCCGACATCTCTGGTATTTTCTGTGTTGGGTCAATTTTGCGTGTCTGAAAGTCTTGAAATGTTGGATGCGAAGAATGGGTCTGTTCCTGTGCGTTGTGTGGTTGCATCTCTTGCATGTCCAGCATCACTTGCATGAAAAAAATGAAAAAGGTTTTAAAATCCCTTGCACCCCACTGGCGTCGGCGGATCGCGTTTCGATTTCAATACAATTGGGCCTATCCTAGCCAGCACTGCAAATCAGCGTGCAAGTCAAATAGCATGTCCAACAGGACGCTCATCTGCGGGGAGTGCCTGATCGCTTGAGCTGGCCTGCAGCCGGCAATAGAGTTTTGCCTTCGAGAATCATGTTGGCGCTGTGCGTCAACGTGCTCTCATCATTGACAGCGCTTGCGCATCCCCTGCCCACAGGGATCCTGGTCCCTTCTGATCCAGGATCGACGGCCTGCGAGCCTCACAGGCGGAAGGCTGAAAGGGCTAAAATGATGTTTGAGGGGCAGGCGGGCTTTTGTGTTAGCATGGGGGTGGAGAACACAAATGAGTAGCCGTTTTGCGTTCAGCTACATCTTCATGGAGCCAATCTCTCACTTTTTCTGCTGCTTGTCCGAACAGTCCCAGTGAGCTCCCGGCGAGATTGGATCAGATATGCAAGGGCAGCCGCACCCAAATCAAATCTCAGTTCCAGTAGGCGTCCAAAGAACCATCTCGGGGGGGAAGGACCATCAGAAGCAAGCCTCACCTCACTTGCCAGACCTCATGTCCCTCGTGTCCCGGCCTCCTCTGCTTCCTTCTGTGAGCTGAGGAAGGTTTGGAGCCTGTGCTCCAGCCCCACCTCGTTGAAGGCCCGGATGGCAAACCTGACGATTGGCCGACGTGGGACTCAGATCAACGTCCAACAATCCAGAAACGGGGGTAAAATTGCGCACCCCTGTTTACACACCCCTCTCCCCAAAAGGAGCATGGACAGGATGTACCCACTTGAGGTGGTTGCAGAAGTGCCAGCGCTACCTTTTCACCAGCACCCCCAAATTGTGTAAACCAAGAACGTCGAAATGGCGATCTAAGCAGAGGGCAAGGCATGCTTCCGGGCAAGATGTAACGGCAGCAGGTCAGAAGGCAGTCAAGCCCAAACAAACCAGATCTTGTCACCCACTCCCCACACCTCAAGCAAAGCCTCAAAGAGAAAGTGGCTTGGCAATCAGGGATCTGAACAAGGGTTATTCAGAATTCAGTATGGTATGTGATGTACTCAAGTGTACTACCACTTGAGAACCATAGGGGACGCTGTGGCGAATCCAACGATTAGCCGCAACAGGCTTGAACCCCCTGCGCTCAAAGAGTGCTCAAACAACAACTGCCTAGGATTAGAACTTCAAGGAGTTGCATCAAACAGGAGGAAAAAGGCCTCCCCGCTGACGCTTGTCCTACATGTGGTTCATGTATGATTGTGCCAGCATCTCCAAAGTCGCACTACTCTGCTCAAGTTGGGGGGGGTACATGTTGTGGCTTCTCAAGAAGTATGATGGGTGAAAATGGGGGGGATCAACTTGTTGTCTTTCTTCAAACAAGATGAATAGAACACGTCCACAATCTGGATCAAACTTCTGAACCTTTACCTGCCCTCCTGCCACCCCCCCCCCCCCCGCAAAACTTGTCCAAGCAACGTTGTCTTGCTCGCGGGGCCCGCTGAGTGCCCTCGAGACTCGGGAAAGGCAAGGCGTACTGCAGATTAACATGGACCAAACAACGGGATCCCAAAAAGGAGATTCTACAAATGAGAAGTTTGGGCTTCCACGCTTGCACGAGAGAGTGTTCTATTGAATTTGTCTTGAGGTTTGGGGACCCCTGCCTTGTGTTTCTTCGGCCCCCACTTAGACTTAACAAGAGGCCCAACAAAAAGACACACCTGCACGTCTCTTCGCGCCTGGGGTTACGAATCAGCACGATGCTCATCGGGCGTCAGTCCACAAATCAAGATCAGCATAGCGATATGCCATTGCGAAGCCAAAACCGTTGCAGAAAAAGCGGTCTGGCTCAAATCATCCGATCGAATTTCGGTTCCGGAAGAACACACTCTACCACCACGCCAAATGTTTCCTTTTGATAGGAGTCTCCCAGTGTATCGGTACAAACCCACGGTGTTGGAGAAACAAGGGCTGCCATCCCCAAAGCCAGTCCTCCATCGCGCGGCGGAGCTTCCTGCCAAAGGAGGCTTCCTCCAAGTACGGTTCTTAACAGGGAACCGAATACTCATTCCAGAGACCCCTGCAGCAAAAAAGACACTCCTTCTGCCACTTCGGATCTAGTGCACAAACTCCACATCAACATCGATCCTCACAAAGAGCCCCCCCCCCAAAGGAGACTCTACAAATGATGTTCTTGTTCCATGCCATGAGCGCACAAACGACCAAGAACATCCTATTGGTGCAGAGAGCTTCAGGCCGCGCCTTGCGAAGGGGGTTGTCACTGGACACCTAAAGCCAACTCTCCCTCACCCCAAAAGGAATCTCACTTCACAAGGCGATGTTTAAAGCCAACAAAAGGGGAAATGAGGTAGATTGCGGCCAGCTCTTCGCGCAAACGTGCCCTCCACCATCGCCCGTTCTCAAACTCGATCTCGATGGCACAAGTTTCACTGGCGAAATTCCAAAGCCATAAGTGTTGGGAATGGCTCAGGCAAAACTCTGCTTGATGGTCTGGGCGGTTCCGACGATGCTGGCGACCCTGGTTGCAAGTTACGTGGGGCTAAAATGCAGGGCTAACAACTTAGCTTGCACGAACCTCCGGGCCACCCAGATACAATCCCAAAGGCTGCAAAAGAAAATGGCAGCCCCGTGTCGCCTGCATCGCACGGGCAGGTAGGCCGCGCTCCCGGCGATCGTGGATCTCACGGAGCGAGACTTGAAACGGATTTTCTTCAGAATAACCTTCATCCACAACCTGACCAAAACATCTGATAACCGCTGATAACCGTATAACCCCTTCCCGCAACCGGCTGGCCTGGACACCAGGGCTGGGGCCTCTGGCCTCAGCATGGTGCTTCGGCATACATGCACCGTTGAAACTGCAAACATACTTTATCCGAATCCGTACCACAAGCACCATCTAGAATCAGGATGTATTTGTTTTGTTAAGCCTGGATTGAATTTGCATGAGCAACCCAGGCATTGTTTCCCGTCATTCCAAAAATAAGTTTTGCAGCCGCTTGTTCAGAACACCTTTTACGCCACTGCTTGCGGCTTTGTACCAACATAACATGATGCCCTTCCAAAATGCATGAGGTGCTGGTGTGCAGCAGGACGACCAGAGGCCACCGAATATGCGCTTGGATGATTAACATTTCGGAGACAAGAAACTTGAAAGCGAAACGACATGGGAAATGATCTTGCCTCATGCCGCGGAAATTGCTGAAACATTGCCCTGCAACACCGCAATGTGAGGCTACATGTAGAAACGGATGCCAGGGCATGCATCTGATCGGTATTCGCGTACCTGCACACATACACAGAGTAC